ACATATTGCATCTTGACCTTGATATCCAATATTCCCTAAAAATCACAAAATCCCAAGAGCTCGTGAAATTTAATATATTAAATATTATTTTATTTTTAATTAAAAATTAAATCTTATATGTTTTTTTTAGATAATAATTTATATTTCCCCACCTGTCAGATGAGGTTGTTAGATTTTATCAAATCTGATCTTCCACCTCCTCCTCTTCCTACTCCTCCAATTTCTCCTCGACCATGTCTGCATCAATTTCCACGTCCACTTCCGCCTTGCCAACTCTTCGCCAATCTCTTCGCCAACTTCTGCGCGCAGTGGACACTGCTGGACCTCAACTGCCGACTTCGATCTGAGTGGGCACGGCTGGACCTCAACCGCAAGGTTCTCGCTGGACCTCAACGGCCAGATAGAATGCCAGAAGACATCCCAGATAAAACGTAAGATAAAATCTCAGATAGAATACCAGAAGATATGTCAGATAAAATGCCCCAAGATATGCCAGATAAAATGCCAGAAGATATGCCAAATAGAATGTTAGAAGGTATACCAGATAGAATTTTAAAATAGAATACCAGAAGATATACCAAATAAAGTGCCAGAATGTTTGTCAAATAGAATCCCAAAAGATTTACCAGATAGAATATCAGAGGATATCAGAAGATATGCCAGAAAATATATCAGAAAATATGCCAAATAGAGTGCCAAAAGATATGCCAAAATTATATACTGGTTTGGTCGTTTCAACCCCTCTGAAAAATATTAGTCAGTTGGGATGATGATTCCCAATATATGGAAAATAGAAAATGTTCCAAACCACCAACCAATTATAGAATTATATAGATTTATCAAATATGTTCCAGAAACAATTTATATAAGTCGTCGTCAAAATCAATTATTGATGCTACGAAAATATATTCGTGATTATTCATGATAATTCCTTTCCCTTTCCCAAGATTTGCAATAGAATTATGGATTCTGCTGAGGCCTGTGAACCCTGCAAAATCCTGTAGCGGTTTGGGAAAAAGGTGGCCGCAAAACAACAAAAAAGGCTTTCCTTGAGGATAGCATGGCATAACAGACCCTCACTGGGATTACACTCCAGTAAACTCACATCGCATTAGAAGATCCACCATTTATAGAATTTATAGATGATTTACCTATCAAAATGGGTGATATTTGGTGATTTTCAATAGCTATGTTTGTGTACCAGACATTGCCAATCAGCCAGATATCCTGCAAAAAATGACAAATTCTGAATGCTGGTGAACGTAGATATTCCCATTAATACCAAAAGACTAGTTAGGATTAGTTTGTATCCATGTTTCAGATTGACCATCTGGTTATGACTAACATCGCCATGGAAAATCCGCCCATGCTATTAAGAACAGTGTTTACCATCTATTCTATGGGCCATTTCCCATGGCAGGGTTAGATTCAGTTGCCTCACTGGCCCATGGACTCACGGCGAGTCTCCATGCCACGCGCTTTTCTTCGCTGGGCCGAAGTGCTGGTGCCGGCCGATTTTTGACACGGCACCCCTGTGAAACAAAAATCGGGACGAGCGGCAACAACGGACCAACGGGGGATATGGCTAGATATCAAGTGGGGATTATTTATTCCCCAAGGACATGATATTTTCTAATAATGGTGATATTCTCCACAATGTGGCCCCCCCCCCGTTATAAGTTGGTTTATAAGCCCCAGTAACTAAAGTTATCAGTAATTGCCATAAACCATAGTTATTGGAGTTATAAACCAACTTAGCTATCCTGGGGGCCTCACATTGCATGATATTCTCCAAGTATATATTTCATGTTATGATGACGGCAATATTATGTGAAAAATCACAATTCCTGTTGTATCACTGCTGTATTAGGCTCCTGTATTGTTGTATCACCTCCCACTTTTTTTCAACTGCACAACCAAGGTTTCTCTTGTACAGTGAAGAACTAAAGCAGGAAATTAAGGGATGGGTCCAAAATTCCAAAGAACTCAAAGGAAACTCTCACTGCTGGTAGCAAATGGTTTATTTATAATTTATAATAAATTATAATTGGTTCCCAATTTCTCAAGCACGCTCATTCAATCACATTTTGGTAGTTGCGTTCTGTCCCTGTCATTGATTAATATATACAGTACTTGGTTTCATCTCCCCCTCATTTTGGCAATCATTTACCATGGCTTGGGATGAGTTCATGGCCCCAAAAAAAGGTGATCGCCGTGTGATCGCCGTGTGCTCTGTGAATCTGATGCCTTTCACAAAGTAAACAGCTGGTTTTGTTGCTTGAAATCCATACTTTTCTTGACACACAAGGCTTGTCTTGGTCGAAATCACATCTTTGTTTCCTGAAATCAAACTTCTGTTACTTCTGTTGGTTAAAATCATGCTACATATATTGTTAGTCTATATCATTCTGGATGCTGGACATAGGTTGAACTTCGCTGTCCTTTTTTGGCCTTCACCAATGTATCCCTGGCCCCGTCGCCGCCGCGATCAACATCAACTCGCTGCTTGTCATCAACTCAAGGGGAGAATGGTGATTATCCAGTGATAATCCATCGTTTTCCATGACTAATTGGTGGTTGAGCCCTACCCCCCTGAAAAATGATGGAGTTCGTCAGATTGGATCATCATCCCAACTATTGGGGAACATATAAAATTCATGCTCCAAACCACCAAGCAGATGAGAAATGGAGGCTTTTCCATGGGTTTTTCACCTCAAGTTTCAGACAAACTCAACTGCTTCAGCTACTCAGTAAGAAACTCACCTCGAGAGGGTGAAGTTGTGCGAAAACCAACGCCGTTGAAAAATGGGACACCCGGTGTGAAACCCTCCCAACAAAAACATAGTTTACCATAGTTTGCCAACAAAAATTCGGGGGGAAACAATAAGGATCAAAATGTAGATTAAAAAAACACAAAAAATCTTGGCCATATATCTGTTTGATTCGAAAACTCCAAACCCCAACAATACACACGCCCTTTTCACGTGAAAAAGGCAGAAAAGCAGCACCTTTGACCCACCAAATCCCAAAATCGGCCTTTGAAACCCTGGGTGGAATTTCGTGGAATGTAACTTACGGGGGGGGGGAGCCTATGAATTTCCGTTTAAGGGATGTCATTGGATTGGTTTAAGGGAAAATTTACAGGAAACCTCCATATTTAGTGGTAAAAACCATAGTTTCCTGTAGATATTCCCTTAAACCAATCCAATGAGGATGGGCATATTTGTTCAAAAACTATTACCTGTACTTAGTAACATACATTGCCGCAAAGGATGATGACGATGAGAAAAAGAATTCGAAAATAACTAGGACAACAACCAATCAATGTGTGATTTCTTTTCAATAAGCAAATGCAATTGGAAATGTCCCATTTAAAAAAACTATAGTGTAGATTACCGATTTAGTTCGATGATTTTCCTATCAAAAGTACTTTTTTTCCATAGCATACTGTTAAAAAAACAAAGGGCAATTGGCAGAAATGATTTGAAGCTACGAGAGTTGCACCCCAAGGGCAGTGAAAGTGGAATGTGTTCCCCCTTAAAGCAAACCCTGGCCTAGTCACTCGGCTGAGTGTGATATGACATATATGGGTATGTATAAGCAAAGGCAACCCAATCCCAGTGCTTTATCATCATTTTATATCATTTTCCCTCTTGTTCGATGATTCGATGTCCACGGACATGTAAATCATTGTAAATCCTTCAACTTGAGACAAAGCCCATCACCCATAGGATCCATGTATGGTATATGTGCTAACATTGGGGGTATATTGATGGTATAAATGTTACCATATATGGCAGCACCATGGATCCTATGGGTCATGGTTCCATCAAACCCAATGGATTTCTCATCATTTTCCCCAGCTTAGGGACACCAACTGCCATCATCTGATGGGCCTAAAACCTCCATTAGCCAAGAGTCCAAATAGGAAGCCCCAAGCGCAACTCCTTAGATTCGCCATGCGGCCACAACTAAGACATACCAAGCCCTTTTCATATTTTTGCTAGGGGGCTGACACTCAAAAAATCATATGGTTTTTCACGTGGTTTGGCCATCCTGAAATGGGCATTGTATATAAAAATTACATACAGCCAATATAATAATATACCAACAACAACTTGGAAACCCTGGTTGAGTAGTGGATTTTACCCTCTAGTAAACAAACAGTTTGCTATTGAATATGGCCATTTATAGTTAATTTACCCATTAAAAATGGGTAGATTTTCCATAGTTTTCTGTTAACGTTTACCAGAGGGTATTCATTTTGGATCCAACAAATTGCTGACGTCGAACCAAAATCTTGGGGGATGGGATTACGAAACAGCAACTCTAAGGCAGGGTGACTCAACATGTCCCAAACAGCGTCCCCGGCATCGCCCCAAAGAAGGTGCAAACGCCGACGATCGGCTATTGCAACGACTATGAAAAGGTACATACCCTCTGGTGAACTAACATAGCAATGGAAAATCACCATTCTTAATGGGAAAATCCACTATAAATAGCCATTTTCCATTGCTATGTTAGTTCACCAGAGGGTATATAACATTATACTGTTATAATTGAAAACATGATGTACTAATATTATACGTGTATCTAACTATCTCATACATTATAACCTTATGAGTACAAGAGGAAATGCAACGGTGCAATCCATTAATCTGGATAGGTTCATGACATCCCACCCGGTTTCATTCAGCAAGAACATCCAAAAGTAGACATGTTGTGTCTTCTATAGTTATACTGGGTTAACCACATCAAATAGATGCTGAAATTAACATTGTTTAAACTATAAGCTGGTTACATCACCCTTTCTCCACGGCTATACCATTCTAAAACATTCGTAACCTTGGTTTTTTCCATGTTTTTTCCATGGTTTTCCATAGTTTTCCATAGTTTTCCATGGTTTTCTCCATGGCTTCTACCAAGCGTCTTGCGCTTCGTGTTGCAGCACCCACGCTGCCAATGTCCAGCGGGGCATTGTCAACTGCCGTGGTGCTGGCCGTGGTGACCACCGCGGGATGAAATAAGCTTCGACCCGTCCAGGCGTACGGGAGACCTGAAAGTCGGACAGACCCAAGGAGACCTGTAATGGTTGACAATGGTGAACCATCTAGACATGTGATATATGTATAATACTGTATAATGATATATATATATATTAATATATATGTGTATATACGTGTGTGTATATATATATAGATATATTGATATATCTATCTTTGATGTTAATGGTCATTTCATGGTGATGAAAATGGGATGATTGATGGTTCATTTCATGGTTATATGCCCTATAAATTGTGATCAGTGGTGATTTGGGACATCCCCATGGCGGCATGGAGCTTCAGTTCGCTGTGAAACTCATCGAAGTAAATGAAGGATATTCCAGCCACGTGTTATTACCGGGATGTCACTAACAAAATGTGTTAGTGACATTGTGATTACATAGTGATGGTTTTCCCGGTTTAGAGCAGTAAGACAACTAATGTTCTTGTTGTAGATATACCTTGAATTTATGGTGGTTATAAACCAACATATAATAATAGTGATTTAACCGGATTTAACTAACATATATAATAGATTATAATAGTGATTTAACCAACAACATTTGGGTTTATATAATATAATATATATATAGATTATAGACATATGACTTATATGTTGGCCACATTGGTTGACTTCAGAACTTTTGGGTTAACATGGTGCCTCCTTGTAGCTGGATAGCTGAAGTTCCAACGGAACGTGGAGGAGTTTCATGGTAACCACCACCATCATCAACGACAACAACGACAAGAACAAGAATGGGATACCCTCTGGTAAACTAACATAGCTATAGAAAATCACCATGCTATTAATAGGTAAACCATAACTATAAATGGGTCATTTTCCATAGCAAACTGTTAGTTTACCAGAGGGTATGTTGAACGATGTTGCAAATTAAGGTCACATTGAAGTGATATGATATATGGGCTATGTATCTGCGCAAAGCCGCAAAGCCGCAAAGATCCGCAAAACAAATTGTGATCGTTGGTCTTCCCCTGCTTCACTCGTCAATGGGGGGGTTTTCCGTTGCCATGTTTGATTACGCGAGGAGAACTTGAAACCTCAAACATTTGGGAAATTGTGGGAATTTATTTCTGGATATGGACAAGTTGAGCCTGTTGAGTTTAGGGTTTAGGGGCTGTTCAATGGGAATTTCAGGATCCTAAAATGGAGGTACTGTACCTTATTTTCTGGGGATATTCTCATTGAGGTTCCTGAAATTCCCATTGAGATGTGAAATCATCCAGCAAATCAGCTACATTATCCCTGCACGATGCTCAACTGCCAGCCAGCCAAAGTTCATCCGTATTCCAGTGCATCTTGGGGCGCACTGTAGCTACGGAAAACACGACTTTAAGTCATACCCAAAAAGTTGCATTAACCAGGAATTACCACTTTAAGTGAGAAATGAGGATCAGCCATGATTGTTTTTGGGGAATTACCAAATCTTCAAACCGATGTCTCTAAACTAATATAGCTTAGCAGTTGAACATGTTGAACTCATATCCACCAGCACCGCTTGGGGCGAGAAACTCAAGTGCGCAACAGTGGGATCGTGCCAGAAATCCTCAGGAACCAGAGATCTGATCGATGGTTTTTTTTCTGCGATTTCTTGAAGGTGATTCGAATTTATTGAGGCATGTCATTTTTATGGGATTTTAATGGGACTTAATGGGATTCTATGGTATTTTAATGGGATTTAATGGGATATGTGATGGTTACCCTCTGGTAAACTAACAGTTTGCTATGAAAATCACCATGTTTAATAGGTAAATAAACTAATTCTATATACCATTTTCAATAGCTATGTAACAAATTACCAGAGGGTAGTGGGTAAACAAATCAGTCTGGTTGGTGGTATAGCTACCCCTCTGAAAAATGATGGAGTTCGTCAGTTGGGATGATGACATTCCCAATATATGGAAAGTCATAAAACATGTTCCAAACCACCAAGCAGAACTAGTGGGTAACAAAAATTAGTGTTTAACATAAACAGATACAGTGAATTTAGAAACAACTACCAAGCATCCCTTGTACTCACAGAATTCTGTGGAGCATGGGTCAGGATCGCCACGTTCCACTCTAAAATTACTGCTAGTGCCTCTGCTGTATGCTATTGCACCTCTGTTCCTTGCAGTGACTGTCCTTTGCAGTGGCTGCTCCTTGCAGTGCCTCCTCTTTGCACTGACTGTTCTTGCATCAAGTCTTCAGTGGCTGTTCTTTGCAGTGACTGTTACTTGCAGTGCCCGTTCTTTGCAATCACATGCAATCACTGTTGATTTCATAGCTCTCAAACTCCGTCACACGGAAGTATAGACACCTAGACTTCCTTTGATAAATGACTCACATAAGTAATCATCGAACGATGAACCTCACCAACTAATCATCCCCAAATGGTCGGTTTCTTGGCTACTGGTTGGTGGTATACCTACCCCTCTGAAAATGATGGAGTTCGTCAGTTGGGATGATTTTCCATTCCCAATATGATGGGAATGTCATAAAAAAGCCATGTTCCAGTCACCACCAGGCTATTTTTACCCTAGCCATTCACGAAGCTCACCACGAACAGCCAGGGCCCAAGTGTCGGTGATGCTCATGCTCCCACCCTGCACGTAGCTCACGAAGGTCGTCCGCAGGGAACTCAACGTGGCAATGGCCACGGGGCAGTCCTCCACGTCCTGGGCCGTGGACGTGGAAAGCCATGTGTTGAGGGAAAAGAAGTGCTGGAAACCATGGGTTTTTTTACGGATATTTTGTGTGGCATTTAGTGGTAGAACAATTGCCAGTCCATGGATGTCTATGGCGTTTATGGGTATGTCAATGGTATTTCAATGGTTTCAAGGCTATACGCTTGAAACCAGGCGTTCCACTCTACTTCCAGGGGGGTTCCTGTAACATTTCCCTTCCGGGACTCCAGCGCGACCCTTTTTGGAACGATGACTGGCCGCTGACAAAGCGTTTTTGGTGCCGCGGTGCCCAAGAGCATGACATCTAGGGACTCTTGATGCTACTTGATTGATGGTACTTATTAAGGGGTATTAATGGGTACGGTATAATCAATTGGTATTAATGGGTATCATATTTTCTATGATGGGTATTAATGATGGGTATAGTACCGATGGTATTGATGGGTATCATATATGTTCTATGATTTTCTATGGGTACTTACTTGATTGGAATCACTACTAACACTACTACCTACGCAAACAAACTTAAATACTAGCTGAGAATCCAAAAACTGGAAGGTAGTACTGCTTGATTGCTTGATTTTCCAGAAACTTTACTTGATACAACGACTTTCTCACGACGGTCCTTGAAAGGATCCGAACTCGGAGCCTTTTCGGAGCCCCCGGGACTCCAACCTCCTACGAGTTGTGTTGGTCCTGGTACCATCACCTGTTCCTGGTACTGTTTGGTTCTCTTAAGCTGTCTCATTCTGTCTCCATAGCTAAGTGATGCTAAGTGCTTCTGAAGCATCAGATCAATGGATGGATTGATGGATCAATATACTATATACAGTGCATATCTACATAGACACCCCACTATTTATTATAGACCAACTGACAAACAACTACAGAGTGGCACCCCCAAATATGTTTGCTGGTTTGCAGCCCCCATGAGCTATAAATAGCTCCTGTAAATCCAACAGTTATTGTACTTTTATAACCAACTTGGCTAATGAACTGAGGCAGCACGGCACCTCTATTCATAGTTTCTTTGTCAACCTCATGTCCTCCAGCAAGTCAAGGCTCTGTAGGTGTGAACAGCTTTCCTCATCTGCCAGAGTGCCGAGACGAGTTGGATTCGTTGGATTCTTGAGATTTGGCTATGGATCAATACCTATGAATTCATACCATTAATATAGGGGGATGAATTCACATCCATTTTAACCCAGCTATTTTGATGTGAACAAAAGGGGCCTTGGCCTACGCCGGCATGCCCACTAGTGGCCTATCCGATCCCATACATTCCCGGTTGTATCATGTGGAACATTAACAAACAAAATAATAGAGTAATTTAATAATGATACATATATTATATATAATCATATATTATATATACTTTTTTATTGACACGTAATAATATAACTCAATGTGTTGACAAGTTGATCAACAATTACAGTATTGATGGTCCCATATCCAAATCAATTTCGTCATTTTGCGATACCTAGGGTTGCTGTTAAAGCCGGGAAGGTCCAGTTCATCACCAAAAATACAGACATCCATGAACGCCCCGTTCAGAAGCCAACCCCGGTGAAGGCATCCCTTTTTGGGAATGATCAACTGGAATTTCGTGGAGAGAAAAACAGTTCCCTGGTGATTAATGATGGTTAATGATGGTTAATGATGATTAATTGTCTGATTGGTGGTTTTTCGCCACCTACCCCTCTGAAAAAATGATGGACTGAGTTCGTCAGTTGGGATGATTTGTCCATTCCCAATATGCTATGGAAAGTCAGTCATAATCCAGCCATGTTCCAGTCACCACCAATCAGAAATAGTTGAGATTTATCCATTATCCTATTAAAAATGGGTGGATTTTCCATAGTTATGGTATGTTATACCCTCTGGTAATTTAACATAGCTATGGAAAATCACCATTTTTTATGGGAACACTAACTATAAATGGCCATTTTCAATAGTTATGTTAGTTTACCAGAGGGTAACCATCATATATCCCCCCATTAAATCCCATTAAAATACCATAAAATCCCATAAAATCCAATGGCCATAGATGCCAACATATGTCAACCAGAAAAAAACATCCGCATCGGTTCCATCTGTCAACGAGAAACTCCTGGGCACCGAATGGATCCGTTCCAAGGTGCCGTCCTCGGTGCCACGGTGCCACGTATCATGGATGGGAAGTATAAGTAGTATCTACTGATCATGGATGGGAATCATATAGCTTAATAGATAAATATGATCACTATTACTGAAACTGGAATATGAAGTAGTATCAGGATCTATCATTGGATTGGTTTTCACGGGAAAATTTTAACCGGAAACCCATGGGTTTTTACCATCAAAATTGATGGGGTTTCCGGTTTCAATTTTCCCATCATCCAATTCTATGAATCTACATGTATCTACATGTATCTACATGTATCTATACTATAACAGAAAAAAATGCTATTTGACGGGAACTATGATACCATGAACAATACTATAGTGTAATACCACTATCTAGCATTATTTTGATGGGAACTCAGTGCAAATCTAATTAGAATACCTTAGAATGTCATGTTCAAAAATGTCGGGAACTTCCGAGGGCCCAAATCAAATCCTTCATGATAAAATATATACCCTCTGGTAAACGTTAACAAAAAAATTATGGAAAATCGACCCATGCTATTCATGGGTAAATCCACTATTTCTATGTCCATTTTCAATAGCAAACTGTAAACGTTTACCAGGCTGGGTAACCCAAACTGATTGGCAAACACCACTCAAAAAACCACCAGTCGTCTTCATCCGGGACAGACAGGTACGATTTGCGGACCATCAAATTTGCTGGGTTTTTGATGGTTTTTGATGGTTCGCTGCGTGGTCAATGAATCTGGTTGTCTCTTAAACTTGGCCAACATAGATACCCTCTGGTAATTTCACATAGCGAACTGGAAAATCTACCCATTTTTAATGGGTAAACTCACTATAAATAACCATTTTCAATAGCTATGTTAAATTACCAGAGGGTATCTGTTCCATCCATATCATCCATTTACCCTGAAAAATTTTCATCAATATATTTTTAGGTTCTTCAATCATCTGCAGCCGCAGAGAAGCAGGGACAAAATATGACAACATTCATTCATACCAATGCGGTATTCAAGTGCTCTCATTTTTTTCGCGTCTGGCCCAAGTACCCCACATCTGATGTCATGTTGCCTGGCATACTAGTTGGTTGAACACGGTTTCCCTACTATGGGTTATCCTAATCTCATAATCCAAATTAATTAGGCAGTATAAGTCCATCTTGACCCAACAATCGACCTGGGAAATTTCTTCCTGGCTCACATGCTGCGGGATGTTCCCGATGCTCAAAACTTAGGATTCGATTGATTCAACCCCCAGAAAACTTTGGACCAGAAATCTCAGCTATGGAAATTCCACCAGTTTCCTTAAATCATCATAGCTGGTGGAATTTAATTACTGGTGGAAATGATTAAATCATTCTTAGTTAAATCTAGATCATTTGAGTTTTTCATCATTTCCTTTGGAAAACCGTAAAACATAAAACCATAGCCGTTCTTGTTGCCTGGCTATGCTATATAACCACCCGTGACCTCACAGGGCAGGTTCTAAGACCCAGACTGCGACTCCTCTTTGTTGCGAAAAAAAAAAAAACAGCAAAAAACAGTCATAAACATGACTGGTTGGTGGTTTCAACCCCTCTGAAAAATATTAGTCAATGGGAAGGATGACATCCCATATATGAAATGGAACAATAATCCAAATGTTTGAAACCACCAACCAGATGAATATTCACAAAAAATCCAACCCACCTTGTCTTACTGGTGCTTTTTTCCTATCAATCATCATCCCTCTGGTCCCCATTAAGATGAGGATGAAATCAATGGTCCAGGCACAAAGGCACAAAACACACCGCACAAATGCAAGGTTCACCAAGGTTCACCCAGCTTCACCCAGGTTCATGGGTTTATAATTTTATATGGCTTATATGGTGCTTTCCTGAGTCATAGGGCTACCCCAATAAATAAATAAATCATCCATGTTAGATTGGGATTTTTGACATCACCATCCAGCGACCGGGGGACCTCCATGACTATATGGAAACCCCCTGGGTTGTACAACACCGAGCATCGGCCAAGATATTCCATTCGCCCCCAGGATCGACGTCTAGCAGAGATGTGGTCGACGTCGTGGTCGACGTCGGCGCCTAGCCGTTGGATCCCACCAGTTTTTCGTAGCAGATTTGTCCGACCCTTTTTGGGCCATGTTCAAATTAAAGTTTCACATAGGTTCATCATGTTTCTATATGATGTGATATTATGTAATCCCTTCTTCCTATTTAAGTAAAACTCCCCCAAATAGAAAAAGGATTGGTGTGGCACTCCCCTTTTTTTTGGCACAATTGGATTCTTAATTGTGGTACTTGAGAATCAATAGGAAAACAGGATGGTGAAACAATGGGTTCAACCCACTACTGATTAGAATAGACTGCCACCTGGAGTTTTCTATTGGGGTCCCATCTCACAAGTTCTATTTTCTATTTTTATTTTTAAGGCTTTCATTGGAATATCAGCGTAAAGCTTCGAAATCAAGTTTATGGCAATATGTTTATATCAATTTTAATAAGGGATTTAATCAAATTTGAAATCGAGTTGCGAAATTTTTATTACTAGGGTTTTCATTGGAATATTGTGGGCACCCTAATACACAATACCCCCTAATAAAAATAGATCACCGTATTTTTACCATTTGGGGGGTATTTTAGTTTTAGTAATAGGGAGAGAGGATTATATGTTTGTATGATTAAAATTGCCGCCCTTGTATTTTCTTGATTTATGGATTTTGGGCTAATCTTTGCTTACACATCAATTGTCACGCGTGTTGTCCTTGCGTGAATAGTCCATTCCGCCAAATACTACAGACCCCGTTAAAACTTATAGAAACCTTGACTTTGTATTGGACGGATTCAAAGTCCACACTACCCAACTATTCACAGCAAAAACACAAGCACCATTTCCTAACATAACCTGCGCATACCTGGGGGCCGTCAACATTCAAATAAATTCATGGTCACCAAGAATGGACTACTCGGTCGGGGCAAGCTGGAAAACCAGCTTGCTAAATGGAAGAACTGATCGCTGGAAAAAAACATCTATACTATACCCATATGCGAACCATAGTGCTGGAATATTCATCAACATTTACCCCAAACATCATCCAAATGTAATATACCATACATGGAGCATCTGCGTATAAGTAATGGAGTCTCCATTGCAATGCTTGATGAAATCGGAGGGGGGTACTAACATAATTATTCACCATCATCATCACCATCATAATTAATAGCCATTATGAATGGCTTTATTAACCAATCTCATAAAATCTGGCCAAGTTACTATATTTAAGGGGTCGTAGGTCGAATTTCCTATTTCAGGGTTTGAATTCAAGGAGGGTCGAAGGGAATTAACAAACATATGACGTCGTGCTCCTCACATGCAATGGGTGCATCAGCCCCTTTCAGGAAATTGTTTGGGCACCAGGCTGGGAGCGGCAGGCAAAGGAGCAAATTGTCAAATTATTCCTACGCTGCCCAAGGGAATCTTCGCAGGGAGAAACAACACCAAACACCGGCTTCGGCATCATAGATTTACAATGATTTATATAGATTTATAATGATTTACAATGATTTATAATGATTTATAATCGTTTATAATGATTTATAATGATTTATAATGATTTATAATGATTTGGAACCTCTTTCCCACTTTCCCACATGACTGTCTTCTTTCTCGCCTCGGTGGTGTCCACCGTGCTACTCGATTCCTCCGATTCCTCGGTCAACGTCCAGGTGGAGGAACTCGTGGTCCAGGTGGTGCGACTCGAGGATGTCGTGGTGACGGAGATGCTACTGCTGGTGGTGGTGGTGGAGACATCCAATTCCTGGCTGTTCAAGTCCAGAAACTGATTGGATTGGTTTTCACGGGAAAATCTGAACCGGAAACCATCGATTTTCCCATGAAGATCATGGGGTTTTCCTGCAGATTTGACACACAAAAACAATCCATTGAGAAACATGGCTTAAATATGGGTCATATATGGACTATATATAGTGCTCAAGGTTTCCGCTCCCATTTTTCAGCTGCGCTGAGGGGATTTGTTCAAGACATCTCATGTGACGGCAGGACCCACGTGACAGGAAAGGAAAACCAGGACAAGGCATCATAAAGATGACCACCCCCTGACCCAGTTCCCAGAAAGTCACATGAGAACACCACCCTGAGTGAACCATGCAGGAAACACCCAGCCACCCGGGAGGCCCCCCCGCAAGGGTCAATACCCTATGCCTCTGCATCCTTACAACCTCCCAGACACCGCTGTCCCAACCCTTGGTGGAGAAAGGGGTGGTAGGTGGGCCACATAGAAGCCAGACTGCGGAGCGAGTGACACCTTTCACACTATCCAAGGAAGCCAAAGGGTTAGTGCTCAAGGTTTCCGCTCCCATTTTTCAGCTGCGCTGAGGGGATTTGTTCAAGACATCTCATGTGACGGCAGGACCCACGTGACAGGAAAGGAAAACCAGGACAAGGCATCATAAAGATGACCACCCCCTGACCCAGTTCCCAGAAAGTCACATGAGAACACCACCCTGAGTGAACCATGCAGGAAACACCCAGCCACCCGGGAGGCCCCCCCGCAAGGGTCAATACCCTATGCCTCTGCATCCTTACAACCTCCCAGACACCGGTGTCCACCCGACCCCAGCTACAGGAACTGTGAAATGTGGGTAGCCGGTTCAAGTCTGGCTGGTCAGGTGAAGTGGCTGTGCCAGAATGCGGAGTGGGGGGAGGGGTTTAATTATCAAACTGATATCCTGGACGAGCTTGTTGAGCCAGGCGCAAAAGTTTTTGACGAGCAGGGCGGGAGAGACCAATGTCTGTCAGCTGTGCCAAGGCATCAGTGATGTAAATTCGGGCTGTTTTCTCATGGCCCCATCTGCCAACAAGGCAGACCCAGGAGAGATTATTAGATTGCCTATAGGCATGGGTCGCCCCGCCGCGGCGTAGGGAATAAAAGGCAAAGCCTGGGGGAAGGTTAGCTTCCTGTAGTAATTCTTTGAAACGATTCCGCATCAGTTGGGGCGAGGCTTTCCGCAACGTATCTCCTGGGTGAAGGGACTTGCAGTAGTTCTTGAGTGCCACTAACAGCCATTGGTCTTCGATTGTCAAGGATTCCCGGACCCCTGCCCGTTGCCCCGATTTGGTCAGTGGAAGAGACCAGACACCCTTTCGCAGTCGGTGGTCAAAAACAAAGTCACCTGCTTTTGCCTGAAAAAGCTCTCCCGTTCGGGCAAACATGGTAAAGCCCAGTAGGATCACCATGCAAAGATCCTTCCAACCTTTATTAAAAGCCATTTGAGCAAGTCCATAGGCCATCAGTGGAGTAAAGGGCAAAGCTTGATCCGGTAACTCAGCACGGCTCCAGGACCCATGCAGACGCCAGCTTCCTACCAGGAACCGTTTACAGGAGGGTATGAAATGTCCCAAGCCACTAATTGTGTCCGAGGCATATGCTTTTGGTTCCCCTTCTTGCCAAAGAGTTTCAATGAATTCACAGACTTTGAGGTCCAATTTAGCAAAACCAGAAGGGTAAGGGTATCCTTGCATTTTTAAAAAATCAAGAAACCGTGAAACTGCCGTTAAATAACGGGTGAAAGTACTCTTTTGCACCACGAGTTGCTGAAGTGTCCCAAGTTCTTTGCGCTCTCTTTTTCGCTCTCCCTTCGACTTTCGTTGCACGAGTTGTGCCCGAGGCATGGTCAAAGCTTTGCCTTCCAACGGCTAGGTCCATCCGCTGGATTCCAGCTGCTTTTGACCCAGCCCAAGTAGAACCGGAGGTCCGCGGCCAACAAGACCGCTGTCAATCGTCGAAGTGGAGCTTGAAGAGAGCGAGCAGAACTACGGCCCTTTGCAATGACCGAGAGTGAAACAATGTTGTCGACCAAAAGGATCGATCTCATTCCATGGTGCTTTGGTTCACGGGCCAATTTTCGTGCCAAGTCAAGGATGGCGGTGGCCTCCAACACATTGATATGTTGGCCCCCTTTCTTCCACTGATAGGAGAGGAGGACTTTCCATCGCCAATTTCCTGGGTCGATGGAGTGTCGGCACATAGTGCCATAGGAGAATGGCTGGTTGAGGTCCACCCGGATGTCACAGCCCTTTTGGACCGCCTGCCGCGTCAGCATGTAGGCCAGCAACTCTTCGTCGGTGAGGCGGTTCTGTGGGTCCAATTTGGCCTTGAGCGGAAGATCGGCGGGTGGCAGCACACGACGGCGCATGGCCACCACCCCCTGGCCCGCCCGAGGCCCTTGCCCGAAGCGTGTCCGCCACGGCTGCTGTTCCCGACCAACTTGGTCCTCGAGGGAACGCCAACTTTCCCAGATGGCCTTTGTCAGATCTACGTCCTTGCCCTGATCGTCATCCAGCGCCAGCCCGGTCAGGAGTCTGGCCACAACAATGGCACTGAAGGAGTTCCCAATCAAATGGCCTTTTTGGTCGTTGGTGAGCTTTGACTTCAAGGTCAGATGTGAGCTGGTGTAGCCCATCATCCTCAGCTGCTCATCGGGCAGCAATCGCCTGGGCCCACTCTTGTCAGTCACCAGGTTGGCATTCTCGTAGGCGTACGGGGGCAGCCTGAAGCTGTCTCCCCGCCATCGTTGGAGCGCCTTCGGCGATGCCCGCTCGAGACCTGCCGGGGAAGGTGGCGGCTCCTTCCGCATGATTGGCCGGGTAAACGTGTAGAATGGCTCGTTCTCCTGGCTCAGCTTCTTGGCCCCCTTGTTGAGGAACCAGTCCAGCGGAGGGATCTCCGTTTTGATCACTCCCTTATCAAGGGCAATCTCAAGATCACGGATCTTTGCCTGCTGCTCGACTTTGAGGTCGCTTCCATTGATCATTTGAATGCCTTTCACCCAGTAGAGTCTAGGTCGACGGCATCTTCCCACATCCGCCGCCTCAACATGCATTGGCAGCCATCCAATCTTCTCACTCTGGACTTCAAGGTCGCTCTTGTCCATCACCACGTTCTCATAGAACTCCAATAAGTCCCATGAGGGCAATCCATGGGCTGCTGATGCCTCTTTTATCCAGCTCCGGATCTTCATCATCTCATCCAACAGTTGACTCGTAGCGCCAGCTGCTCCCTGCCGATTGGCATTCAGGGAGGAGTGATGAATACACGGCCATCCCCCTGCCAACAGGATCTGGCGGGCTCGTGGAAACTGTCTCCTCCATTCAACCACCATTTCTTTGGTGATGGTCTTGACATCATCATACAAAATCCCGTGCCTGCAGTGGGCTCTCGAAAGCTTTTTGCTGGTGGGGTCATTATCGATACTGATAACCCCCTGAGGAACCATACCAATCAGTTCGAGGGCTTGTTTCAGCCCTCCCATGCCAGCAAACATTTCAACCACCAAGAGGTCATCAGCCGCGGATCCCTCCAGTCCATTTTCGGCATAACTCAGGCCATGGCAACGTTGATGGCCCCATTCGCTGAGACCCGTGCTTTGGCACGCTCCTCCTCCTTCTTCTGAAGCATCAGTGGCAAACACTGTTCCCGAAGGCGTATGTCGTTGGTTGATCCAATGTTGCGGCAGCAAACTGCTCAGCAGCAACAGTTCATCACGGGCCAAGTCATTCAAGTTCCTACCACCCCCTGGGTTCGCCACCTCCCGATACAAATGATCGAAGGCGCTAGCCAGCGGGCGGCAGAATTGGACCGTGTGCATGTGCTTTGAGACCAGTGCCTGCAGCTCTTGTGAATCGGTTCGGATCCAAGGCGCCTGAAGCAGGTTGATGGTGGCTCCGAGGATCCCTCTTCGGAACTTTGTGTTCGAGCCAACCAATCCTCGGCCGCCATCCACTTCAGCCCCCAGGGAGGACCAGCTCAGAGTTCCTTCTGCTGCCTTCTTTGGGTCTCTCCCAACATCCCAAAGTTTAAAGACAGCTCTCAACTTCAGCTGGTCATCCGAAGGCTTTCCTTCATACTCCCCCATGTCACTCTTTGCCACGATCTTGAAAGAGTCCCAGTTGTCAACATACCAAGAGTAGTATGTCCTTGGAGTGTCAAGTGGAAGAGCTGGGAGGGCATCTCCCAATCTAACCGCATGCTTGATGCTCATTCCAGCCTGAGTTCCCATCATTTCCAGACCGCTCTGAATGAAGTCCACGACGTTTGACCACCCCATTGGCGCGGTCTTAACTCTTGGGTAGCTGGCCTCCTGGCTGGAGTCTGCAAAAGCCCATCCTGCCGCCTTCTTGCTGAGGACGAAGTAGCCTCTCCACTTCGATCCTGGGCGGTAGATGTGGAAACAATGGCGTTGGTCCTCCCCATAGCTCATCACCACTTCATCCTCAAGGACAACCATCTGTCCCCAGAGCGGACTGTACCCCATTTTCTGGCTAGGGCGCCAAGGGGTCTTTCGTTGGAAACCATTTGAGGGGATGAGGTTGATTATCAGCCGAAATGTCCGGAAGAGGGACCCATCCTCCCTCTGCTGCCATCCCTTGTGCACACCGAAAGCACCATTCCTGACGGCCTCATCTTTGTAGCGCAGAGTCTCGTGTGGATCCTCACGCTCTAGCATTCCTGCCTTCACGAGGTGAGCGACAACTCTATTCCATTCCTCATCACTGTCAACATGGACTTTGGCAAAGGTCCTCGGGTCGATCAGCTCATCGTCCGGGATGCGCAGGAGTTCAGGATTCAGCACAAAGCTCTTGAGCTCAGGTGCGACCACTTCCGCCAGCTCAATTCGCCCTGCTTCATCTGCCGCAGGGGTAGTGGGTAGGATACCTTCCACCGTCAAGGGATAGGCCTTCTTCACCTCTGGTCCCGTATAGATGCCGTCCAGCGACTGACTGATTTTGTCCCATTCTCCTATTTCAATCTTCCCTTCACCTTTTTCAAGCCATATCTCAGCCAGCTCCCGGGCTCTTGACATCAAAGCCTGTTGGCCGGGAGACCACTCACAGCTGTGGGCCATCTGAGTGCTCAGACATCGGTCAGTGCCTCCGCCCAGGTACAGCGCATTCACACCAAGCACCTGCAACCATGACCAGGCAGCAATGCCAGCTTTCTCACAGGACTTTTCAACTGCGGACCAGTCTTCATCACTGGGGTCATGAGCAGCCCCTGCCGCTTTTACCAAGGCCCCGAAGGCATGCTGCTCCTCCGCGGTGTCGTCAGGCAGGGCCATTGGCAACAGCTCTGCGGGGTGCCCCTGAAAGTTCCTCAGAGCGCAGCATTTGAACAGTCGCGAGAAGTTCCCCAAGCTTCCAGGGCGACTCCGAATCATCAACTTCAGAGCCACCCCGGTGTAACTCAGGGACACCCCATGCCCAAGAAGCCTTTGCCAGGTCTTGAGCCATTCTGCCTGCCAATCAACCCTTCGGGCCTCAGGTCCCCGTGCCAGGTTAAAGTCCTGGACCACCTCGACGGCAAGGTCTTCCTCGCCTTCATCAACATACAGGGGCTTCCCCAGAAGGGCTTCTCGAAAAAGTTCGCGATCCAGGTGGCGTCCAAAATCCTCATGGATGACGCATCCCGGCCGTCCAGGTTTCGATCGTCCCACGAACACACCGCCATCTTGGCCGACCCAAAGCTCCGTTCGGTATCTGATCTCTACACCTCTATACTCGCGCGCCAGAGGCCCCTTCACCGCCTCCGGGGACGGCCCCGAAGGTGGCTGCGGGACCCCCAGCAACTTGAGCAAAGGCTTCGGATCATCTTCTGTCAGACACTTGAAGGTGTTTCGAAGGCTCTCCAGAAGCTTCTCTTCTGGTTCATCCATCATCTCAACCAAGATTTCACTGAACCTGTGTTCCACCTCTTTCCATGTTGTTGGCGCCTGTACCAGGCAGCGTAGCTCATCATAGTACTGCCGCACCTGGGGGTGCTCTAGAAGGTCATAGAGGATTCTTCTCATCCACTGCCCTCTTTCATCTTCAAAAGTTCCATTTTCCATGACCTTTCGGATTTCTTCTCCGGGCACTCTCTCTGTATCGTCAGGTGCCATCACCATGCAAATTTCCCTTTGCGTCCTTTGCCTTTTCCTTTCCCTTTGCGTCCCTTCTGGCCGGGACGATTCGATGGCGGCTTCTCGTCTTTGCCTGCTTCTGCTCCGCCGGGATCCACTGCTTCGGCATGAGGCGCCTGCCGATCCTCCCATCTCGGAGCCCATTGGTTCCTTCGTGGCTGCCAGGGCCCCGCTCTCAGGCGCTGTTCTGTTTTCAGCTCCTGCTGCGTTGCCTTCAGTTCCGGCCGGAAGTACGACCTCGCTTCCCCTTCGCTTGGGATCAGTTCCAGAAGGTTGCCTTGCTCCCACGAGCCCTGGGACATGAACAGTTCGATGCTCTTGAACCGTTGAACTGCCACGTCCAGGCTCCGCATGCTGTCGTTTTGACAGATGCCGTCTATGATCGCCGCCAAGGTGCGCAGCTCGCGGACATTCCGCAGCCCCGCTGCTGCCTCTGGAAACCTCGTCAACAGGATCTGTGTGAGGTAGCCCCGTGCGACCGGTGGCAGGCTCTCTTCTTGCGGGTTCTCGGCCGTTCCCCTGCTCAACCCGACGGTTCTCTCCAAGATCTCCTGAAACTTCAGGAGGGTGAGATTCGCCAGAGTCCCCGGTCTCTCCTCGTGAAGCCGGTGGATCTTCTCTGTGCCTGCGGGCAGGGCGGCCAGTTGAAAAAGCGAGTCAGATCGATCTGAGGACTCGCTGCTGGAGCTTGTCTTCTTTTTGTCCTTGTTCTTTTTCTTCTTTGAGGCCTTCTTCTTCTTCAGCTTCAGTCGCAAGGCCGATGCTCCCACATTAGGCGGGCTCCGCTTTGCAATTTTTTCTTGAAGCCCTTGTCCATAGTCCTCGTCTTTCTCGTGGCCAGCTTTTCTCTTTTTCGTCTTTTTCTCCTTGGGCTCGTTCTCCACTTCTCCAGCGTCCGATTCCCTTTCTCCGCCGGCCAAGGCTGCAGCCAGGCCTCTAATTCCTGGCTCGCCTCCTTCCACTTTGCCCCGGCCCCCAGGCTCTCCAGCACCAGCCCCAGGGACTTGCCCCGAGCCTGGCGGTGGAGGCCCAGAAGCCTTCAGCAATTGTGTGACGAGATTCTTCTGGTCTTCGGAGAGCCAAGGAAGGGAGAGGGCTGAGTCTCCAGGCAGCATCCGGAACACGTCTACGTGTAGAACGTCCCTAAAGGGAGTCCGCGCTGAACAGTGGTCTCCACGACGACCACAAAAGTGGATGCCTGCTTCTCCTTGATCATAAGTGGTGGACACCCACCAGGCGAAGTAGTCATCTTGGCAGGCATGGATTTTTCCCAGCCATGATCGTCCTTCATGGGCGGGATCTTCATATTCTCGCAACAGCTCGACCAGGATAGTCCCCTGCGTCTGCCCCTGGTCATTGTAGACCACAATTTCAACCAGCTCTCCTGGGCTTAGTCCAACCCAGTGAGCCTCAGCGGCCTTACGGCCCGTCTTCCTCCAAGCCTCGGGGCTTGCCATGGCTCCGCACGCCCTAGACCTTTCTAGTCCTCTTCTTGCAGGAACCCCTGGACTAACAGCAGTCAGGAGATGAACCCCTGGCCGCCTGCCAGGGACTCCCACAAAAGAGGGGTCCCAATTACCTGTCTTACCTCCACATAGAAGCCAGACTGCGGAGCGAGTGACACCTTTCACACTATCCAAGGAAGCCAAAGGGTTGGGTTATATTGGGTTGATTGTGCCTACGGGTTGAAAACCGAACCAGCATTTTGCATGTTTCTATGTCTTTCATGGGGTTAACGGGGTGGGGTGGGGTGGGGTGGGGTAATAACGTTCATTTGCGCTGCCTCACATATATGATGCTACGCTGCTGTACGTCTTTTTGCACTTCCTCACATTTATGGGAAAACAGTTCCCACAACAACCTCTCCAAGCTCACTGCAGAAATTGTGAAGAACACTTAGCGCAGAAAAAAAGATAGTGCCGCTGAGGTGTTTTACATATCCAGTGAAAAGTACGCGCGTACTTTTTAAGGAAATTGAACTTTGAGAGAGATGCAAAACCACTGTGATTTTTGGTATGAAATCAATGACGAACACTGCAAACGTTGAAAACGCGGGTTCGATAAACAACCCGCCGGGTTGATTGTATATGGTTATTCCATGTTATTCCCTAAAAAAAGGGTTGACTTATAGCGGTTTCTTGCCACTTTGACGTAATTATGTGAAAATCATCCGTTATCCAGTGCTTCTTGTGTTGAACTCGTTTATACTATGTTTGGAACATCCGACATAGAAGTCCTGTGTCCTGTTGTTTTTTAAATGGGAACTTCAATCATCCAAATTCCAACCTTGACCATCATCATTTGTTCATTTTTGTTGACGACTTGTCACAGATTTCAATGGACTTAAGGGGAAATCATGGGAAATCATGAAGAACGTATTCATGAAACGGGGGGGATCAAGCATCCGCTTACAGTGGCAGACATCATCAAAACGACACACGAAACTCTGACCCGAAAAAAGGATAAAACAGGATGGCGAGACTGGTTTTTTCTCACTCCCTCTACCCCCAGAAGTTCAACGTCAACAAGGTCAAGGTTTTTTTGGGGTTAAAGAAACACCCCGGATTAAACAACTTCACTTCATTGATGATGAATCAGTTTACTGGAAATTAGGATGAATTAGGTGCATAAGTGTTATATAATTCAAGTGGGGTTAGCCGCATAGTAGCCTCTATGAGGGCTTGTTTTGCTGAAATTAGCTTCGCATTTGCATCCATGGGGGGTCAAATTTGATGAAATCAGTTTGGATTTGGTGTCCATGGAAGGTCCAATGAAAAAAAAACTATTCCAAATTTATCTTGTTGCAGGACAACATACGTTTTTTTCATGTTTGAAAGGCGGGGTCGTTAGCAAACCAAAACCGGAATCAGGGTGGGTAGTTAAACACAGATGGAATGGCTAAAAATCAACGGTTTCTGCAGTAGTTCCTTGGATGTTCACAGATTTCCAAGGTGATGTTCAATCAAATGCAGATTCTGTGTGGCTATGGACCAGCATGTCCGTGTTTATATGGCAGTGTGTCAAAACCTTGTACCCCTGGTGAACATCAAAATAGCTGGTAAATGGATGTTCATCCCCCTAAAAATGGTATTAATAGGTATTGATCCATAGCCATATCTACAGTATGTCAGTATTTTTGGGAATAGGAGCAGCCCAGCTGTCACAGCAACGCAACGGGGGTGCAAGAGGCGCATTGGGTCGCAAAAATCATCCCGAAACTAGGGGCGTTGTCATTGGGTTTACCACATCAAAAATCCAATTTTCGGATCAACCATGAAAAACACATGTACCTGGTTGGTGGTTTTAACATGTTTTAACCATCTTGAAAAATATGAAAGTCAATGGGAAGGATGACATCCCATACCACCAACCAGATGAAAAACACATGTACAGTAGCTCCAAGCAAATTGCCCACAGCCCGCCAAAATAACAAACCAAGCTTCGCAAATCGGCGCGAAGCGCACATTAACCTGCAAATGGGAGCAATTCTGGTGACAAAATGCCAGAGGTGATCCTAAGCCTCGAATAGCAAGAAATGAAGCCCTTCCTTATCAAACAGTTGGCTGATTTTTGTTAGCGCATCATGAACAAAACATAACATCATCATGAAAGGTATATGGACAAATGTATACATATAAATGCATAATATATATGTATATACAGTATATATATATATTGTACATATATAATATATATATATTGTATATATATACAGTATATATATATTGTACATATATATATATTGTATATATATATATGTGTGTATATATATTGTATAATATATATATATATATTTATTGTATATATATATATACTGGTTTCAACATTTTTTCAGTTTTTTTTCAACATTTTTTTTGGTGATTTATATTTTTTAATAATTAAATATGTATCTATTGCCACATATGTCTGAACATCAAAAAATATAATAATTGATTCATTTGAAATAACATGTAGAGATAACAAGTTTTTCTTTATTAAAGCCCAATTTACAAAAAAAAACAACAGCACCCACAAAAAAAAAACGAGGTATCCCATGAGCACCCTCAATAATTAATATGTTTGTTGTGGTGGTTCTCTATTGTGTCCAGCTTTTTTCTGAGGTTAAAAAAATCACACAGTCCTTTTGCCCTTTCCTTTGCTAATTATAGCTTTTCTCTTTTACTTTCTTGAGTTCCATTAATTTCCCAAAATATAGGATGCCTTATTAAAACACCATTAAACAACAGCACCCAAACAATTTTTCAAGGGGGTAGTCCATGAGCAACCCTGATCTTCAATAGTATGTTTGTTGTGGTGGTCCTCTATTGTGTCCAGCTGTTGTCTGAGATGAAAATTTTCAAACATTCCTTTTACCCTTTCCTTTGCTAAAGCTTTTCTCTTTTACTTTCTTCAGTTCCATTTAATCTCCCAAAATATAGAATGCCTGATTAAACCACCATTAAAAAACAGCACCCAAACATTTTTCCAAGGGGTAGTCAATTGAAAGTAAACTGAAATCAAGTGAAGATAAATTGATGCAAAATTATTCAGACCCCGGTCCCTCAAAAGTTAGCAGCCTAAAGAGACCCCTTCAAAGGTTTGGAGGGGGCCCTACACTAATCAGGATCCAACATTGATATATATATATATATCTTATACATACATATATACCTACAAATATGATGTGGCTCTCAGTTCCTGATGCTGAAAATTCCAAAGTTACTGGATCTCCATGACTTCGTCCCCCGCCTGCGTATCGGTGGCTGAGTTGTAGTAACCTTGTGGGCGAAAAGAAGCAGGTACAATTACACCCAGGGGTGCCACTCAGAGGTTTATCATGTCACCAAGTTTTTAGGGTGTGTTTGGGGGTTGTTTAGGATGTCATTTGGGATTTCATTTAGGGTTTTGAGGATTTTCCGAACGATTTTAATTCTAATGATATTTTTCTTTCAAGGCTTAAAGTGTCATGTCAGATTCGGGTGTTGGGGTTTAGGATTAGGGTTTTAGGGTTTTCTGTTTTGCTGGAAAAATTCATGCATGTAGTGCAAATTGCCAAAGGAATCCAGGATGATTTGGGATGGTCGAGGAGTCTAGGAGTGTTCAAAACCCTCTCTTGTTCTATTCATTGCCAATCAGCCAAATACCCTGCAAAAAATGACAACTTCTGAATGCTGGTGAACGTAGATATTCCCAGCCAGATACCAAAAGACTAGTTAGGATCAGTTAAAGTATCCATGTTTCAGATTGACCATCTGTATTATACTGAATGGGGGGTAGGGATTCCTCTGGATGAAAAGCGCCTGTTGTTCAGGCATCACAGACGCACGTAACTGGTTTGAAACCATCACTTTCTGCAGGGATCCATCCTTTTGAATCAGCAGGACATCCCCTGCAGAAACCCGCTGGAAGTTCCCAGGAACCATTGATGCCATCCGTCTGGCAGCCCGACAAGGTCACACCTGAAGCCATGACTCTTAGAATTGAAGGTATCTATTGATGTACATGCTATCATTATAGGATGTTGAAGATATCTATCTATTGATATAATCATATAGGATATTGACGGATATGGATAAGGTAAGTTTTTTTTTTGAAGAGTGCTGATCAATAGTTTAGGGGAAGAAAGTAACTATTGATGTACTCTCAAAAGTCTTCGAAATGGATGTTCATCCACAAAACAATCCAAAAATCCGTGGTGGTTCCATGTGGGTTTGTCTGAACATAGGTGGTACCCCTGAATAATTGTAAAGTAGTTTTCATCAGCGTCCTCTTTCAAACAATTTCCATTTGGGAAGATACCATACCCAATTTTCAGACACACCCAACTATCATGTTATATCATTATCTCCCATAATTATCATATTCCGTGCCCATAAAATAGCTTGCAACACACCCACCATGGTGGTATGTCGGATATATATATATATTATTAATATATATATATATATATTATTAATATATATATATATATTATATTATATATATATTTATATTATATATTATATTATATATATATATATATTTATATTATATTATATATATATATTATATATTATATATATATATTATATAATATATATATATTATATATAATATATATCATATATCCCAATATGTTTCCATCTTGAGTCGGTAAATAATCAAAGTAAATGAGCCATCTATAGCAAACTTTAGGAGATTACTAAAATTAATTTCCATTTGATTTTTTTTGCATATCCCATGAATACTGTGGATGGAGGAAATCCTGCACCAGATAGTAGATGGTTTATCCCATTGTAATCCCATTATTTACAGTGTTTTATAGTTCCCAATAGTTACCAACTGGTGCAGGATTTCGCAACCATCCACAGTATCAACATTTGTTTCCAATTCTGTCACAATACTCTTCTGGTTGGTGGTTTCAACCCCTCTGAAAAATATTAATTAGTCAGTTGGGATGATGACATTCCCAATAGATGGAAAGTCATAAAAGTCATGGTCCAGTCACCACCAATCAATTGTAGAGTTATATAGATTTATAAAAGTCATGTTCCAGAAACAATTTATATGGGGATGGGTCAAAACCCTGGTACCTTTTGTTCACCTCAAGTCATAGCTGGGTTAAAATGGATGTTCATCCCACTATAGTGATGGTATCTATAGGTATTGACCCATACCCATATGAGTCGCCGGAGTCCCAAAAAAATTCCCATGGTTCCAGTCACCACCAATCACTCTTTCTATCCCAAAGATTAGCGTCCCATTAAATCCCGCCTGACACAATTGGAGGGTCACCGGCTTGAAAGTTCCATTTGACTAGAAAAAATAGGGTTTTTTTTATGGTTTTAATGGGCTAAAAATTACTAAAGATATTTCATGGGAGTATTACATTGAACAGTATTTTACCATACCCTCTGGTACATTATGAGGGTGTCCAAAGAAATGGCAATTCGACTGAAACAAACAAAAACCTCTGGTAAACGTTAACATATCTATAGAAAATCACCAGTTTTAATAGGTAAATCAACTATTTCTATGGGCCATGTTCCAGTTCGCTATGTAACACATTACCAGAGGGTAATGATAAATCATGATTGACGAGCCATCGGATTTGCGGGGTACCATGCACAAACAACCTGACCGCGCCTGACGACATGTCGCCAATCCAAAAGAAGCCCAGGTCCAGAACCGCAGCCTCACAGCCTCGTTTGTGATCATGGCAGCCGAAATAAACCCTTCTCTAATCAGCCACATTTCTCTGGGAAATCCGACCAACACACAAAACACTTTGTATTTTTCAGCATGCAAATGAATGCACATGACATATTCAGAGGTTTACAGCAAAACAAGAATCCATATCATTAAAACCTACATATCCAAGCCAGCTTTGCACACTACACATGACTTGAACATCCCATCCCATGCTAGCTTCTCAGATATCGCAAGTGGTTAAGAGTCTATATATTACGGGCATGTATACCAAGCTACCATATCTGGTTGGTGGTATACCTACCCCTTTGGAAAATATGAAAGTCAGTTGGGATTATTATTCCCAATATATGGAAAAATAACAAATGTTCCAAACCACCAACCAGCAAGGTACAATTGGGCTTTGCTGTTTTCAATACGCATCAAAACATCTCTTGAAATCACGTCAACAAAGATGTTCAGATATTCCCAGCCACGTTTGGCCATTTTATGTGCATCCAATGGTAAGTGGCCAATAAGTCATGTACTCTGGAGTTTATCCACATTTATAGCTGGTTCACACAATGCTTGGTGCTTACTAACATTTATTAACCACATACTAGGCTTTCCTACTTGGTGCCCCAAAATGTTAGCTAGGCTAAGATGGTTTAATAAGAGAGGTTAGCTACGATTTCTGGTAGATCTATATTTATACTCAGTAGGCGTTACAAACAACACACATTCTTTGTGCGGAGACCTTGTACATCATCCATCCTGATTGTGAGGAGGATCTGGGTGTTGCACTTCAACGTTACAAGTTGCTCACCAGTCCATATATCCATATATATCCCATTATATCACCAGTACGATCCATCATCATTTTCATCATTGCTCTGAAAAAACCCTACTAAAACCTTCATCCTAGAGACTTCGGATACTTCGGATCTTATAACCCTACTAAATTTAACATTGTTGCTGAATCACATTCACTCACGTGAATTGATATTGTTGTTCAGATCATTTCCCGAATTTCGGTGCTTCAAATCCACCAATGGATAACCAGATTTTGCGGGCCACGACTTTCCAGATCTTTCCAGTGAAATTCTACCTAAAATGAGGATGTCTTAAAATGGGGGATCCCCAAAACCAATGGTTTTCAATAGTAAAATGGTATAATCTTGGATGATTTAGGGCTACCATATAGGGCTACGCTCATGTTTTTTCCCCAAAAAAATCATCACTTTGTGCTGAAGAAATCGCCAGCTTTCCTTGGTCATAGGATGTCATAGGTCACACCGAGCATCTCTCTTGTGCGACTTGTCGTTCTCCCTCTCCACAACTGGCGTTCCCATAAGCTCCAGTGAAGTAGGCCGAGGCCGAGGCAGCGCTCGAAAGGCAGATCGCCCTGGGATCGGGGACCATCCACTGATCGGACAAGGCCACGAATTCAGGACTTGTTTTCTCAGCTTCGCTATGGATCCCTACAACTAGTGAGGCCGCCGGCCGCCCCCGGCCACGAGAACGCGTTCAGTTGGTGCAAATGAAACTCCAATTTCACGAACCGGTAAACATGGTACTTACTTATAACGAACTATAGTTACTGGGGCGAATCTAAACCAACTTATAACTGACATCACTGCGGGGGCCACATTGTATGGTTCCCTATGGTTCACACATTGGTTCACTATGGTTCACTACTGATCCATAGTGGGATGATTTCAACCACTTGGATCGTGGCTATGATATCAATGGGAGATCTCCAGGATCCAAAAATGGAGGTACGTTAGTACCATATAATTCATGGATATTAATGGTAGCTACCTCCAATTTAGGTTCCTGAAATGGCCATTGATGATATCCAACAGAGTTTCAAGTAGTACAAGCCACTTGCTGGGTTTAGAACCCAGCCTGGTGATGAATTTTAACCCAGTTGGTCATAAGCCCAGTGTCCTAAGTAGGCTATGACTGGTGAAAAATCATTTGGTACCCACTTACCGACTGGGGTGAACCACCAAGTACAATGTATATATATATATATATAATGAATATATATATATAGCAAACCAAAGAACATAGCAACTACCAAAACAATAAGAACAAAGATGAGAAACACGAGGTTATTTTCGAATTGGATTTGATATGATTTGACATATGTCTATCTTGCCGGGGGGGTCTATAACCAACTAATGCTAGTAAGGCCACTGTATAATCTCTGTTCGTCAGACCATGGCCTGAAATTTGGACCCCAAATTTCGAGTTCTGATCATCAAACACCATCAAACTGGGTGTGTTCAGCATCCGAAAATCAACACATCTACCCTCTGGTAAACGTTTACAAAGTTTACATAACTATGGAACATCACCATTTTCAATGGGTAATTCCACTGTCCACTATAAATGGCCATTTCCAATAGCTATGTTAGTTTACCAGAGCGTACTGCTTCACCCGACTTCCCAAGCTCTACTGTGAAAAAGGCCATTTTTGGGGCAGAACTACCACCCTTGAGTAACTTAGGCTCGATGTACTGTTCCACCCGGACATCCTGATTTTTTCCTTGGGGCACTTGGGTAAAACCATCCTACGGATGGACAACTAAGCAACCCCCAGTCATCAGCATTTTTTGCTTAGTGCTATGGTTACGATTCCCAGGAAAATGGGTGGTTAATAACATGCTTTTACCCGGTAATTACTGGTCGGCCAGCCACCACATCAGCCATGGACTTCTCGACTTCCGAAAGGACACCGCCATCGCGGCTGGACGTTTTTTGATGGTTGCGAAATCCCGCACCAGTTCGAAGTCTAAAGAGGTCACTGTGAATCACTGGGATGTTTTTCGGGATTGCCGGGCATGCCATAAACCATCTACCCAACTGGTTTAGGATGTTTCTTCCACAATTCTTCCACAGTTTCTTCGTTGTGTTCTCAGTTGGGTCAGGGTTTTCCTTTTTTGTTCTCCAAGCTACCAGGCATCTTTGTGCCTTGGGCCAGCGGTCAACCACCAAAAGAAATCCTCACGTGGTGGTCGCTCACCCCAGCAAATGGCGTAAAAAACATGTGGACTAAGCCCTGGACCTTAAGTGGACTAAACGACTAACCCATATGTTTACTTAACCTATTATATAAATGGAAAAATCACCCACTTACTGTGGTGAGCCACCAAGTACTTGTCCACTTGGAATCGGGAAACAGCAGTTCCAGGATGTTGGGTTGCAACATGACCAAAGTCCTCCGATTCCTGGGGAAAGCCTCTTTCAGGATGATCTTTCACGTCCAACGCAACATCAAGTTTTAGTCGGATAGTTTTTTTCCCATCCACATGGAACAAAAAAAACCAGCGGTTTGCACAAAGAGCCGATGCACCTGCAGCACCCAACCAAGGTTTATTTTTTTGGATTCCCACCAATTTTGTGAAGACATCGTCAATACCGTAAGAAGTATCAGTAAATAATGAAAATCTATTTTTGAAAAAATGGAATGAAATCGTCTAGTCACGTCCTTTCACTTTCCACCATTTTTGTCCCATTGCAGCCTGGGCTGTGATTGGTTTGATGCCACGGGAGCTGTGCCTGCCAGCCTTTGGCGCCGTAGCAGGACAGCTTTCCCAGTTCTTCGCGTTGAAAACGCCGAGCGCTGCCACCACTTTGGGAGGCAGAGATATTGCTTAGCGCCATGTGGAACGCCGGGGATTTTCGGTCACTTGCAGCGTCCGAGACGGGAATACAACGATCTTTTTAGACACTAGTGACATGATGTTAAGCACAAGCAAGTTGACGAACCTCCAAATTGTTGCAGTTGGTACTCCCACACATTGCTGTTTAATCCCCCTTCACCAGTCTCCCGATTTGAATCATGTTTGAATCATGTTGATAGCTAAATCGCCATTTTTGCTGATGAGCATCTATTGAAACATCGTGAAACACCACTTTTGATGGTCCAAACCCGAGTCTGGACAGTCACCAAAATCCCCAGTTCAAACTCTACATCTAGTGCTGATTCCTTCGGTGGTGAAACTTGTCATGAATTTGAGTTCCACTTTGTTCAACAGTAACACACAGTGGCTAAGCCAGCGCAACCGAACAAGCATGTCCCGAACAAGCTTGAAAAACACACACTGGGCGTCCAACATGTTCTTTGGATGTCAGCAGCTCAGGCCATGGTTAAAAGTTAAAACTGAAAGGTACCCTCTGGTAATTTGTTGCATAGCTATTCAAAATGGCCCAGTCGAAATAGTGGATTTACCCAAAAAAAATGGTCATTTTCCATAGCTATGTAAACGTTTACCAGAGGGTATCCCCCTTTGTTGGGCACACCCACAACCACAGCCTGCCGACTCTGTCACCGGACGTCACAGTAAAACTCTGGCCAAAATGAGGAAAACCTCAGTTGCGTGGCGATTTCGTGGGATTCTGGATCAAAATGATTGAATTCCAAAAAGTCAATCAATTTCTTTAAGTCATGTTTAGCCTCATTGGTGAATCCAAAGTATTTTTTGTTATCAAATAATTTACCAAAACAAACAATTATTGTTTTAGCTTCATTGGTGCCCCGAAAACTGTTCGACCCGAAATTTGTGGTCCGACGTGATTTTTCTGATCTCTTTTCCTTGGTTGGATGATCAAGCCCAACACATGGAAACTACACCCAGAAAGAAATGCAGATGTCTCCCATCAAACCTCTTTCCTTTGGGGACATCAAGCGTCTATATATTTCTATCCATCGTAGCGAGTTTCATCCACTCAAACATAGTGGCCAGTTCCATGGTTTATGGTCATCCCATTTCATGGAATCCAAAGATCATGACTATGTGGGGAAACCATGTCATAAACCACCCATGACTGGGAATGATAAAATTTATACCACCTATATATTTATGGTGATTTGGAGGTGTCCAAAGTATAGGGCTACCCCTAGCTATCATCCATTTAGTTTCGGATTTTCCAATGGAAATCAACCATAGATTTTGGGTACAATGTGCCCCCCCCCAGTTATGTTTGTTGGTTTAGATTCGCCCCAGTAACTAGTTCATTATTTGCGTACCATAAACCATAGTTAGTTATTGGAGTTACTTGCACAAACTTAGCTATCGAACGGGGGCCTCACATTGTACCCTACCCTGACTACGGAACCCCCCATGACTGGGGGATGACACCATCCCCTGGCCCAAGGGACGCCCCCCAGCGCCGCCGTTGACGCGGAAGCGCTGACGTCCACCGTGCCGGTTCCGTCAACGCCGACATCGTCAGCCGTGGTGACCCCGCTGGCGTTGCTGAGCGCGAAGCACGTCTTGCCGACCCAAAGATACGGCAACGACCTTGGTTCCAAGCGGTTACAAAAAGGTAGCTGGATGATGCTGAAATATGCTGAATGATGAATAGAAATGAATAGAATCTATACATTCATGTTGATTCACTGTTTATGCCACAGAGTTTTGGGGGGTTCTATGAAATCTGTGCGCCCTTGGCGATGCTGATGCCACCTGACCTGATGTGGGGATGGATCACCAATTCACGGAATTCAGCATGGTTTTTCTTGCGTCAAATTCTGCATTTTTAGGAGTATATGTCGAGCCATATCCATCCATATCTATGTCTATGGCAAGGTTTTTGCAAAGGCATATTTTTCAAACTAGACCTTTGTAATGCGGCTATATGATTTTCATGCCGGATAGATCCACATAATACAGTACCTTGCTTGCGTCCCAGAAAAGCCCATGAAAAAGTGCACAATGATGTGATTGGTGGATGCTGGTCGTACCTGGCGGCAAATGACCAAAGCAGGACTGCTTGTTTTTCGACATGTTCGTTTACACATTTCCCAAACATGGCTCAAACATGGCTCAGAGGGTCCTACAATATTGTCTTCAAGAATCTAAATCTATGTCGTCTTTGGGGTATTTCATGGTACATACTACATATAAAATCATATAAATCCTTTTTGGACCCCCAGAAAAAAATCACCAAGGCTTGTTCCTGCTCCGCGGGGCAGACCCTCAGTTTACCCTTCAGTCATCCCCTGGCTGCCGCCTTGTTAAGCGATCCGGGGATCCGGGGATGGTGACTATGGTGACTATGGCATTGGCGCTACGAAGTTTACAAGCCATTCATCAACAGCCAGGAACTGACCCCATCAAACGTCATCAACCACCCAGGGATAAGCTAGGCTTTCTCGACCAGTGACAAGTGAGCGATGGTGGGGTCTTTCCATGAATCCTCAAGCAGTGCATCGTGGCATGCGGCAATGTTTTGCCCCGTATCGAGACACCATGCACACCACCAGTTCATGCTTTGGGGATGCCAACCTGTTCAATTTTGTTGGTCTTGACCGATGATTACCTGCGTTCCACCATACATGATTCAATCCAAGAGCCAAATAGGATTAGAACATTGTTTTCCTATCTTCCATCGGCGATCAATCACCCATTTCAAAACAAACCCACATCAATCCACCAACATGGGCAATTGGATGTCCGAATGTTTCTTGCACAACGGGAGCAGCTGACGCATATTTATTTGGAGCTTCGAAACCCAGCACATCACCCAACAAATGTCCAGCGGGTTTTTAACCATTTCTGATGAAAAAAAAACAGCTTGAGGTCCAGGGTAGGACAACAAAGGAACTGATTGCTGATTCAGGAAGGTATGACTTCCCAATCTTCATGAGTAGGTATGACTTCTTATAGTTACGCTTGATGATAAAAGGATGATAGCATGTTTACATGTTCAGATTGTCTTTTGTCCAGAAACAGAGTAACCCTCTTTAATTTGGGCTGAATTGCATAGAAACATGTGTCCTCCTTCCAGCGCTTTAGTTTGATACGCAATTTGATACGCAAGCCAGCAAAGATTGCCGTTTTTGGGCCGCATGATGTTTGTAGGCCCACCGTTTTTACAGAAAACTCTCCGCAGAGTGGCCTTCTTTTCCGTATATCTATATATCTATATATTATCTGGTTGGTGGTTTCAACCCCTCTGAAAAATATTAGTCAGTTGGGAAGGATTATCCCATATATATATTATGGAAAATAATCCAAATGTTCCAAACCACCAACCAGATATCTATATATTATACCATGTGACAGCTATGTGACCATATTGTATATTTCTTACATCCCTCCATCCATGTTCCGATGGTTAATTCAGCAGCATTCATTCACCCGGCGAAATCCCCGGTCCTGCACTTACCATCTGGTTATGACTAACATAGCCATGGAAAATGACCATGTTCAATAGGTAAATCATCTATTTCGATTAGGGCCATGGCTTCCATAGCTATGTTAGTCATAACCAATTCGGGTATTCTTTCATGATCTGATTCTCCCATGTCAATCTTTGAATATCTAAGAGATGCTTAACTCCCCACCTTTTCCATAAATTGGGACATATTGGGACAATTTGGGATAAATTGAGATAAATTGGGATATCAGAGTGTAACTCACCACTTGACACCCCCAAACACCACTTTTTAATTGCCAAATCTCTGAGATATTCATAGCACCACCATAGAGATACATCGCAAAGGTCCAGCGCTGTTGCGTCAGAAACGTCAAGGGCACCGGACAGTCGTCCACATCCCCCGGGGCGAACAAATGTCCTGGGCTACAGCCCGGGGCTGAAACCAGCTATCCTCTGGCAAACGTTTACAGTTCACGATGGAAAACCCACCCATTTCTTATGGGTAAATCAACGATATCAACGATTTCTATGGCCATTTTCAATAGCTATGCTAGTTTACCAGATGGTATAAATTATAAATGGTGATTTTTGTGGTTGAAAAGAAGGTGACTTACTGACTTAGAACTGGTAAAAGGCCATGGCATGCCACAACCGTGGGCCCCAATTTCTGGTCATTTTCCGAAAACTTGGTCTTGGAATCATAGGATGGAAGGCCAAGTCGCAATATCCAGGTTTTCCAATGATTCCTTGCTTAAAAACGAATTTTGGATAGCTCCTCGTTTCGGCTGCTTAGAAACGCGGTGAAAATGCTCCATTTCGGGACGCATTCATGTATGATTCTTTTCCCCATTTCCATCAATTTATATCCATGGAATAACACTTGGAAATCCATTGAAATCCCAAATATGGTGTAATTCCATATCTTGATCATAAATTTCAATTTCCCCCATATTATCCAGATATCTCACAGCTTTGTTGGCGATTCCCGAGTCGAAGGCTCTGCGTGGCGTGAGATGACTTCGTTCCAGAGTGCCATTGGGCCAGAGCTGCCACTGTCCCAGAGGGTCTTGTGGGAAGACCTCAAGAGGTGGCTCGGTCCAAAAGTTGCGACGGGTCGAGTGCTGTATGGAAAAAAGTACCATACTGTGGATGGTTGCGAAATCCTGCAGTTGATAGGTGCTTTATCCAATGATTTATAGGATTTCAACCGCTTATTAGTCAGTTAGAAGATGTTGTAAGTCAATTAAATGTAAGTCATACGTCAGCTATAAGTCAGTTATAAAACCATTCATGGAATGATAAGCCCATTTATAACCATTTGTACAGTAACCAGCTGGGGAGTTATGAATCCTGGGTTTAAGATTAGTGAAACTAATCGCCCTTGGGTCGGAAATATTCCGGTTATGGGTTCCAAAAATCCCCAATCAGCAAGTTCGTCAATGGACCTAAATTAGGGGCATCTACCGAATGTTTCAGGGCTAAATTTCAGGGAATATCACCACAAAGTATGGCAACTTTTTTTGTACACTAGCTCCATTTTAGGGTCCTGAAATTCCCATTGAGTTTCCGCATTCTTCAGCCATCAACATGGTGGCAGCCTTTGACATGTCAGAAGGCTCCTTTCATGACAAGCATCCAACGGTGGTACAGGTACTGTTTGGGTGAGGCTTGTAGTGGACAGGGTGGTCCTGAAACAGAAAATACGCCTCCGAGACCACTGGAATTTCACCGTTACGATCAGTGGAAAATATGGGATGCGATGAAAAATACGCATGGGGATATCACCATTTTTTTTTGAAGCATTTCTGGTTGGTGGTTGAGCCCTACCCCTATGAAAAATGATGGAGTTCGTCAGTTGGGGTTATGATCGCCAAGATATGGAAAGTCATGAAATTCCATGGTTCCACACCACCAAGCAGTATATATAGATATATCACCAATATTAACACATGGAATTTAGATTGTTATTGGACTTTTTTCACCCACCTACTTAGCTAACGAACTGGGGCACCACCTTCATCCATGCAGGGATCCTCATCTGGAAAGGCGGCCCTTCGGAGTGGCGACGTGGCTTGAGGCTTCCAAGATCTTCCAAGTGACATGGGTGGATTTTTCAAGATACTCTGCAGCAAGGAAACACTTACCTTCTGGTAAACGTTTACATAGCGAACTGGAAAACCAGCATGTTTAATGGGTAAATCAACTATTTCTATGGGCCATGGCTTCCATAGCAAACTGTTAGTTTACCAGGCCGGGTACCTTCTGGCAATTTCCACAGTTTGCTATGGAAAATCACCATTTTCAGTAGCTTCATCATCGAGCCACATGGATTAAGCTTAAACTCTTCCAACTCATCAACATGGCGAAAACATCAACAATTCTCATGACAAAAAAACATTAAAACACGTCCATTCACCACAGGATGGGGCCCCCCCAGTGATGTTTGTTGGTTTATAAACCCCATTAACCATATAGTCATCTATATAGTTATATCTACCATAAACCATAGAATTCAGCCACTTATAACCCCCATCCTGCATGGGCACCCGTTTTAACGTCTTTTCTCAACATTCCCACGGTTGCAACGGTTATGTCCTGGTGGTGATCGTCAAGGTGGTGGAGGAGTCCGTCCGAGTGACACTGGATGCAGTGCTGGTTTTGGTGCCGCTGCTGGTGGTGGTCGTAGTCACTTCCTTGTGGCTTAGGACTGTGGATCCTTCAAAATGGCAAAGTTTCATAGGGAAAATTGCCATTGTGGATGGGGAAAATATGGGAACATGATGATGAAGCATCAATTCTGGGACCAATTTTGTGGAAAAAAAATGAGATTTTAGCAACTTGTTGAAAATTTGGATTTGAGTGATTTAACAAACACATAAATGGATTTCACCTTAACAAAAATGGAGGATTTGACACAACAAAAAATTGGGATTGAACTGATTTAACCCACCAAACTCGGGATTTGGCATGATTTGGCACAGTTGGGATGCCAATTTGGACGCGTTTTCAGGGTTGCTAAAAACACAAATATAGGGAGATCAATTCGCCATCTGGAGATTGGAGACTCAATGGAATTTTCACCTAGAAATGCGGGATCTATCCGAAAAAGTTGGTGCTAAAAAATCACTGGGCAACAAAAAAACACGGAAATTTGGGGCACTAGACTGAACGAGAAAAGAGGTTTCACCAACAAAAAATGTATAAGAAACAAATGAATCCATATAGAACCATCTAAAACCATCTAAAACCAATCTAATATATTCAAAATAGATCAAAAAAAACTATGTGATGAAGAATGATTCACCAATTCCACATGATTCTTTGCTGTTACCATGAAACCTTGGTATCACCAATTTCGGCCTTCCAAACATGTTTTTTTCTCAAGGTGGTGCTTTTCCCCAGTTATAAATGGATTATAATCCCATGAAAACTATATAGATATATCACCAATATTCACCAATGTTATTGATTGTTATTGGACTTTTTTTTCACCCACCTACTTCGCTAACGAACTGGAAAACCACCCTGCTGAAAAAACGTCTGTACGGGCCAATTATGATGAACCCTTGGAATGGGCTGCCCAACAATTGCAAACAAACTCAAATTGCTGGGTACCCGGCCTGGTAAACTATCATAACTATGGAAAATCACAATATTTTATGGGCAAATCAACTATAAATGACAATTTTCAATAGCTATGTTGAATTACCAGTGGGTAACTTCAACATGGCAATGTACTTCCGCAGGGATAGCAGAAATATGTCCGTGTGAGTTTTCCTGTGACACTCGTTCGACGTGACTCGTTCGATGTGTGAAAAACATGTGAAGCCGTTAAGCTATTGGTTAAAACACATTCTAAAGATTCTAAAGTGCCCTATTGGTTACCCTCTGGTAATTTAACATAGCTATTGAAAATCACCATTTTCAATGGGTAAATCCACTATAAATTGCCATTTTCAATAGCTATGTTAGTTTACCGGAGGGTAAACAAGATACCAGGATACATGGTGGACTCGTGGACTGTCCCGGATGGCTTGTTTCATCGATGCATAAACCACGCCCCAGGGACGCAGAGCGGTGCGAAGACATCGTTCACCTCAGGTGGAGTCCGGCGATTTCTTTGGCATCATTTTCTTCGTTAGTCGGATATATATATATATATGTATCTATATATATATACATATATATATACCCTCTGGTAAATTAACAGTTCGACCCTGGCAGTTGTCGGGGTTGGAAGACTAGTTTCCATTAAAAATTGGTGATTTTCAGGGTCTATGTTTATTTACCATAGGGTATATATAATATAGACATCCCAAATAAGGTTTTCGTTGGATTTTGCTTTTATATCTTTTCTGGAGTGACTATGTATCAATATGAATGTATATATATATATATTACATATTTAAAACAATATATTGTATATAATATATTATATTATATATATAATAATATATATATTATTATATATATTATCTTATGTATTCTATATTATATATTAAATATTAAATATAATATATTATATATATTATAAATTATATATTAAATATAATATATTATATATATATTATATTATATATTATATATTATATATTATATATAAAATAATATATATATATATTATTATATATTATATATTATAAATTATATATTATATAAAAAATATTATATTTTATAAATTATATATTATATATATTATATATTGTATATTGAATATTATAGATTATATATTGTATATTAAAAAATATATATGCTATATATAATATATATTATATAAATTACATATATATATATATAACATGTGTGATTATATATAAATTAAATCTATTGTTGATACCCAACTATCTTTTGCAATGGTTGAAAAGATTAGCCACAAAATAACCAACCACAGTTGATGTACCATCTGGTAAAGAAACAAGGCGGTGGACAATCGCTAACCGCTAAGCTGAGAAAAATGGCTGAAGACTTCGGCCAGCTATGGGGATGATTCCTCCTATGCTAGTTGTAAAATTCAAAAATAGCTGATAGGTCAGGAATCAGCACGTGGACAACTTTATAAAAATCGTCTTCCAAGAAGATGCAAGGACCTATTTTTCTTGAGCCTTTACTCGTTGGTTCCCGAGAGAGGAAAAAAATCGCAATGTTCAAAAGCCTCTGTCATTCCATCAAAAACTGGTTGGCTAATAGGCATGGGGATGCCCAATTCATGGATGATAATCCCAAACTAGTACTGGATAGTACAATCCCATATATTCATCAGCAGTAATCAACAGGAATCAACAGGGGGTTAGCAGCCACTGCTCAACGTACGGAATATTAAGGATGGTTTGTGGCATTGTGTTTGCCACATTCATACCCATGAATACCCCAGCGTATATTACCCCATATAACCACATATAAAACCCTGTTATGTCAGTTTGGTACTTCAAGCCGCATAGTTATAAAACCGATTTCTTTGGCGGCCTCTTGATTGATGATTAGTTCGTGATTTCATAAGGCTTTTAAGCATGAACAAATTAGGATATGTTCGGCTTTTGTTTGACGGTTGATAATTAGTTTTGGATTGTACTATCCAATATGTTTAGTTCAGGAATTTTGATGGATTTAAGTATCAGAAGATTCAGAGCTAAAGATCACCTTGATATGCGCAGTTCACATGTTCGTCCAATATATTGGTGTATGTTGATGGATTTGATTTGGTATTTTATATATGAACTAAATAGAACTAAATGATATTTGGTATATCAAAATTGCTTTATCCAATATGTTTAGTATCAGAAGAAGCAAATGATCTGCGCTGCGGCCTGCGGGAACTGCAGGATTCATGGGATCCATCGATTTTGATCCATCGATTTTAGGAGGTTTCCGAAAAGTCATGAGGGTACCCCTAGTTATCATCCATTTTAGATTGGGATTGTCTACATCACCAACCATTTTGGGATACCTCCATTTATGGAAATCATATCATTTGATTATTGAAAGACTTTTCACAAAAGGGATTGAAAATGAATGAAAACTCTGCGATTTTGTCTTCGAATGGCTCGCCTCTGTCTTTGACTCTTGTACTTTGGCACTGGCCTAGGAAGTGTTCACTTTGCCTGTTTCTTGCTCAAAACTTCAAACAGCACGATAACCTCCATTTGTCATTGTCAATCGTTGATAGTATACAAACAAACACGTCATCTTTTGGTGGTTAGTCAACTGTCCATTGCAGAGAAACCATGATGAAACTAGCCATGGGGATGATATACGGCGCAAATCAGCGATTTCCTTGATCTTTGAGTATCCCATTGTTATCCAATAAATGGGATGAGATAATTACGATACATCTGATACATGATTATAAATTGATAATATGATTATGTGTATTCCCATTATTATCCCATTATTATCCAATACGAACCATAACAATCCGATGTTCCATAGATATTTTCATTGGGATTTCCCATTCAACTCGCCTGGGAGGAGTCCTGAGTGTTGAAGTAGCCTCAGCTGCTTGGGACACAGAGAACTTACGCCACCATGGGAATATCATGGGATATACAGTGTGTATATATATATATATAACTAAAAAGGATAAATAGATACTATAGTTGTATATATATATATTATAACTTAGCTTTAGCTATATATAACTTATACAGTGTGTATATATACACAATCAGGTATTTACGAAGTGACAACTTGATATGCGTGTTGTGAAGGATCATGTCCCACTTGCCACTCTTTCAAGGTGGTTCAAGCTGGTAAGGCCAAGATTCTTTGGATTTTCAGGTCAGCAGGTGAAGAATCATCAAAAGTAGCAACATACTACAGTAATTAATGTCAACCTTGGATTAATAAACCATGGTTCATTAATTAGCGGGGGTACTCCCCAAATAGTGGTAATCTAATACTCAAATGGTACCTCCCCAATCAAAGAGCCGTTTGGAGCCGTTTGGGGTTTATTCATCCGGGGTTGACATTAAATGCTTAATTGGATGATATTGGATGGTTAAGAATACTGTAAAAATGTGATACCCTCTGGTAAATTAACATAGCTATGGAAAACCACCATTTTTAATGGGAAAATCAACTATTAACGGCCATTTTCAATAGCTACGTTAAATTACCAGAGGGTAGTCGATCACAACTCGGTCAACTGGCTGCCACTATTGGATCCATCTAACCGAAGATCTAACCGAAGATCTAACCGAAGATCTAACCGAAGATCTAACCGAAGATCTAACCGAAGATCTTCGGCTTCGGCGAAGCTGAACCGCCCAGCTGAACCGCCCAGGGACCATTCAGGGTATCGACTTGGCAGCCAGCAATGGTGCTGGTGGACTGCATCCTTAGAGAAAATGTGGGCAAAATGCCTTGGGAATCTTGGGAATCCCCCCATTTTTATGGAGCTTTTGAATGGGAAAAGAACATCAACGGAGGAACCACGATTTGCCGCGTTTGATTGCCGGAGGATAATTAAAAAAAATCCAGTTAGATAAATTCTACTTGATTGTAGCAACTTCAATTAATTGATTGCAGCTGCTGCAATTGTTTAATTACAGCAAATTGAATTGACTACATTGTTATTTTTATTGATTCCAACAATTTATACCCCATGTGTTGGATATTCTATATGATTACAGTACTGTATACCCAATGCCACCCCTACCTTCTGGTAAACTAACATAACTATGGAAATCACCATTTTTAATGGGTAAATCAACTATAAATGGCAATTTTCAATAGCTATGTTTGTTTACCAGAGGGTACATCTAATATTGTCCCAAACAGTGCGACCATGCAACATTTACCACTGGAAGTATGATCATTCCCCACATGAACGTGCACCATTGAGTATTTTCACGAACCTGCACAAGTTCAAATATCTTACATTGGTTGTATAATCCATTGTATTGCCACTATATACATATATATATATGATAATTATATATATATAATATTATATTATATGTATATTATATATATATATTATATACATATATATTTTTAAAAAATACAGTATATCCCAATTCTGGTTGCACATCCAATGGATTCTCCGCAGGTCTGATCCGGGTATGGATCAAGCAACTCGCCGATCCAGAAGAGGTTTAGAGCCAAAGTGGCGTCCTCACATCCTCGGCCACAAAACACGAGAAACGTCGTGTCCGCAGTAGTAAAGCTGGGTTGAATTCAGCAACAAATGGTGGATGTCACCACTGTCACCAACAAAAATGAGAAGTTACCTGCTGAAACATCTAGATTTCACCAACAACAAATGAGGATTTCCTGTGGATTTATGATACCTAAGTTGATTACATTACCACAAATCACCATTGGGTTTATGGTGATAACATATGTAATATTCTCTGTTCGTTCGATGGGTACTATACCAACTTTTTTTTCGGACCCTCCCAATAATTTGTTGGTTTAATCTCCTATTCTTACTGATCAGGCATGGCACTTCTTGTCCGGACGAAAAGATTTCTGATGAGAGGTTTCAACCCCGAGATGGAAAGCATCACATCTTTTACCCTCTGGTTATTTAACATAGCCATGGGAAATGGCCCATTTATAGAGGTTTACCTATTGAAAATGGTGATTTTCCATGGCTATGTTAAATAACCAGATGGTAAACCAACCTGCCGTTGGTGAGTTTTACGACCACTATCCATTTGATTCGCATTTCTCTTGGAGGTATACAATTCTATATATACACACCGTTATGGAGGTTTCCTAAGTCACGGCTGCCCAAATCATCCAAGGTTTGACGGAATCCTGCGCGAGCGAAGTCGCAGCACCAACGCCCCTTCCCGGTTAAGGGGGGTACGAGGTGTCAGAAGGGTAGTCCGAGAATGAAAAGAGAGGGTGAACCATGAAACTGTACAACACGGATCAAGCCAAGCATAACTGCAAGCAGTTGACACACGGCCAAGTCAAGCACTCTGCAAAAAACGCGTAGTAAGCAAAGGAGGCCAACGACAAGCCAAGTAACCTCAAATTTAGGAAGTTTTCATTGGTCTTAGGGCCACGTCAAGATGACACAAGCAAAACACGCCGCAAGGACGGCAACGGGCAAAGCCACATGTTGGGTCAAGCCACAAGTCAAGCTGGGAACACATTACCTATCATGAGTTCATCTCTTCTCTACGGTTTTCACTCTTGAGCGTCTTTGGCGGATTTTCTTTGTTCTGTAAGGGTCAGGAGCCACCAAAGGTCATGTGGAAAGCCAACACGCGTTCATGGTCAACATCCAAGGCAAGACAAGTGAAGATGGGAAACTCCAACCCTGACAAGAATCTCGAGGCATGGCTCCACCCTGAGAAACCACCACAGACAAGTCTAATGACCTGGTGCAATCCATCGTCGCGACCTGTGCGACATTCTGGGGTCGGCATCACACCATCTCCATCAGAGGACACATCCAACAGGTCAGCAAAGACAAGTGCCTGAAGACAAAACACGGATTTGCAACCTTCAACAGCACACGACGACTGGTCCATGGTGACCATCAGCAAGTACCTGTCTGTCACATCGTGAGGGCACCTTCCGCGTGTCAACCAATGTGACCTAAAATGGTCCCGAACCAAGCTGTGGCGAGCATCCGCACGGCAAGCCAAGAAGACACAGGACATGCTCATCAAAACAACTTCGGAGTCAGTCAAGATGCAAGTCACTCGGTAATGGCATGGGCACGCAACAGGCGACAGAGTGAGGTACTTCATCATTTGGAAGAATGGCCCACAAGTCAAGTCAGTTAACCTCATGCTCAATTGGTGGGGCACCACGGCACCCCTCCCACCTCGCTTCGAGGAAGCTTGAGCCTTGAGGCTAGGGGCCAGGACCAACAGGACCACACGGTCTTGAGGGGAAAAAGATCTCTGAGCGAGCGAAGGCTGTCTGACATGACCATGATCAAGGGGCCACCTCCATCCTGCAATGGAGAGGCCACTTTGCGCCCTCCAGAAGTTCGCACCTCTCCAGCTGTGGAAAATGTCTTTGAGGCCATGACTTGGTGATTTTCCGGCAATATGATGTCTGAAGAAATATCACGGAGAATTCGACCTCCTGAGACAAGAAGCTATTTGGAGTCAACCAACTTGATACCTCCGAATATATGAGAGAAATACTATTGTATGGAGAAATAAGCATATAAGCGTCCTTTGTTGGTTATATCTCCAACTTATATAAACACTATTGTATGTGAGAAATCTGACTGGGTTGATGATGGTTGATGCCTCCTGCCAATCTCTCCCGAGTTTGGACAATTCTTGGATCCCCCTTTGGTAAACTAACACTTTGCTATGGAAAATCACCATGTCCAATAGGTAAAGTAACTATTTCTATGGGTTTTCCATAGTTGTGTAACAAATTACCAGAGGGTAACTATGGTTTTACCAAAAAAGGATGCATTTTCCAAGACCATTGGTACGCCACATGCAGTCGCCCTATGCAGATGTTTTGCCCAACATCGCAGCAACTCAGCTCAAACCAACACCTCCGCAAAAATGTAGAATTTGGGTATGAGTCAAACACAATAGCCATCAATAAATAATTGGGTATTGCAATCAGGTACTGAACTCACCAATAAAAAATTATACAATTGCTCAATGAGTCAACAAAGGTACTGAATTTAAATTATTTGGGCAGACGGGTTTTTATACTGATTTCTAGATTACGGTATTCTAACATATTTAAACCATCAAATAAAATGGATAATTGGATCTAATCATCACACATGATTTTTTTTAAAAAAACGGGGATTTAAACATTGATGCACTGGGTCCATGAGCCAACCCAGGATGCCAAAAACCTGAGATCTTTCAGATATGTCCAGTTCCATAGATACTCACTGGATTAATTAATTTCCATGGATATTTCTATAGATATTTCATGCAGAGATATTACCAGTTCCAGCGATACTGTTTTGTTATAGTTATACTCGAGCCACTAGGGACAATAATTTCATGGTTAGTATGATACAATGGGACCAATAATAAACCTCCAGTTGGGTCAATTATCCCATGAAATAATAGTTGATTGATCCAAGAGTTTTTTGACCAATAACCAATCCAATACTTACCCTCCAGGAAATTAACATAGACCCTGCCAAATAGGATTTGGAAGATTAGTTTCCACTAAAAATTGGTGATTTTCAAGGTCTATGTTAATTTACCAGGGTAACAATATCGACACCTATACTTGCTGGTCCTTTATTGGCTTCCCACTTCATGGATTATAGGAATCCTCAATCCCTGTATAAGTAGGTAGTAGAATGACCCTCACAATAATCCAATTGATCATAAAAGGTATGATGATTAAGTACTACTCAGTATAATAACCATAATAATAATATATAATAATGATAAATTTCAATAATCCTCATAATCATTTACAAAGTGGGATGCCCAAACGATAGCTAAGTTGGTGAACACAAGTCCAATACCTATGGTCAATGATACTCATAGCTACTGTATTCATGGGGATTACATGGGTTTATAAACCTCTTTACCATCTGGTCAATTTATTCTCGTAGCTATGGAAAATCACCATGTTCAATAGCTAATTCACCAGAACTCATCGAACTAAATGGGCCATCTATACCGCAGCTACGTGACAAACAACCAGAGGGTAAATCTCATGAAAATCCCATTAACCCTATTGTTGATGGATAAAATAATGTTAAATACAACAAATATATGTGTATATATAATATTATAATATCGCATTCAGATCCCATGAACATCCCATGAAAAATCATAGCTATGGCCTATGGCTCTTTTGAAGCCATACCTGAACCATTTCCGTCTCCCTGTGACCAAAGCATCTCTCTTTCGGGACCCGTGAAGTTCCACTACAGCTGTCTGTGCCATATTCACCACCTTTGCCCAACATTTCGGTTGGCTTTGGAGATCAAATGGGGGTTTCCATAGTCATGGGGGTATCCCAAGCTCGCTGGATGGTTTATTTATGTTTATTTCCATGGGAAAATTCAATTCAAATGAATGAATGATAGGGTTTTATCTGGACATGGGAGGGATTCATATTAATCAAATGGTTTAATTTCGATGGAACCTTTGATTAGCACTGAGAACTTTTTTTTGTTTTCCAAAAAAATGGAGTCTTGGCGACTTTCTGGGACTCAGCATCCTCAAATAGCTCCCCCCAAAAAATGAGCTGGATATGAATCTTTTATGTGTGTCTGAGAATGGATACCCCTTAAAACTACCATCAAATTGTGTGATTTTTTATAGGGGAAACGATGAAAATAAACCCATATTGGGGTACCATTTTTTCTCATACAAACCCATTTCTTTCCTCATAGATGGCACCAATTTTTATGGCGCCACAAAAAAAATCCAGGACTTGCTGCCCCTGGTGGATCTCCATCCAAAGGCCGGAGGCTTTGATCGCAACACACAACGGTGAACTTCATCATGATCTGTAGGAGTCCCCCAAAAAGATGGTGAGAGACTGTGATTCCCTGTGATATTCTCTGATATTTTGATTGGGTCCCAGCATGTCCCAGCCACGTGAGTACTGTGCCATCACATGGTGTGAAAACCATGGCAGCAACCAGGCCAGGTGCCATGGCGTCATAGTTTGGATGGGACCCTCTGGGGAAGTACTTTTTTAAAGGAACTGAGCTGGGTCATTGTGATGTTTTTTTTTCATGGTCATTCACCTGGAATTCGGCCATCATGCTGTTTGGGGATTGAATTTCCCTGATATCAATGGGAATTCCAGGATCCTAAAATGGAGGTACTGTACCATATAAGGCCATATTTTGTGGTGATATTCACTTACATAGGCTGGCAGGTACCTCCATTTTAGGATCCTGAATTTCCCATTGATGATATTGTTTTGCCAGAATCATAGATATCGTAGGCGATCCAATCTCATTTACTTGATCTGAGGCCAGAAATTACGATCCCAGCTGTTGCTATCCATGACTGCGGTGAACCTGTTGCAACTGGGATGTAAACCTACAATGTGAGGCCCCCGTTCGATAGCGTTCAGTTGGTGCACATAACTCCAATTTCACTATGGTTTATGGTACGCAAATAACTATAGTTACCGGGGCTTATAAACCAACTTATAATTGGGGGGGCCACGTTGTATGAGTTGTACTAGGTCCTACTACGGAGCCCTTTTTCAGAAATGGGGACACAGTTGTTCCCAACTGTTTTGATGGTGAGTGACTTATTGTTCTTATCTTTTTCCCTATCTTTTCATTTCTGTCTCTATCCTGAACAATGGGAGCTGCGGCTCCAAGTCAATTTTTAGAATTGGACCAACATGTTCCAAATATGTGGTATATATGCCAACATATATGGGCTCCACATGTGGTGCAATAATATATTTATTATATAATTAATGCCAAACTATGTGATCATTGGGGATTTTTGATGGCTGGAAATGCTGTGCGTGTTTTCATTGGGGGACACTGAGATCCCGAAATTTGACGCGTCTCCATTGGGTCTTGTTGGGAACATCACCGCAAGCCCGCAAGTACTTCTATAATCCTAAACAGAAGGAGTTTCTGTAGATTTTCCCCGGCCAATTCCGGGAAACAACTTCCGAAACACAACGAACACAGCCGTGATTTCTGGTACCCCCTGGTGACATAGCGACGGAACATGACCCGTTTACAGATGATTTACCGGAATTGTCGCGATTTTCCATAGCCATGGATCGGATAATCCGGATGATACCCAAAGTCATAGCTGGTATAGCTGGATGGTTATTCCCCAAACATATGTAAATAATGTGCAACAAACAGTCCTGAATAGGTCTTGACCCATCCCCATACATATATATATATGGTGTATATATAAATATATGGTATATATATATATGGTGAATATATATATAATTATATATATATAATTATATATATAATTATATATGATATTATATATGATATTATATGAAATAACCACCAATCAAACATGTATCAACCTTTGAGTATAGAAACTGTCAAGCAATAACATGTTTTTACCTCGTGCAACTGGAGGATAACTCATATCCTGGAGACAACTGGTATCATCCATTGGTGTCGGGGAAGATCCCATATTCTATCTAATTACTTCAGAACTTCAGGCTGATCTGATATGTATAATAATAACAATTTATTATAATAACAAATAATACTAACAATAATAATAATAGTAAATAATAAACATAATGATATAATATAATAATATACATATATATATATATGCACATTGAACCTATTAACATCTTGGGCACTGCTCAGGCAAAGCCCACAAATTGGGGACCTCCTGTGGTATGATCCTCCAAGCGCTGCCCGAGCCATTTTAAAACCGCTGGCGACGGTGATGGGAACTGCGACTTGGCAAACTTGGAAAGCTGAAGTGCACGCGGGTTTGTCCAGAAATTTCGCATTGGTTTGAGGGAAAAGCTGCAGGAAACCTTGATATTTGAGAGGAAAAACGGAGTTTCCTCTAGATTTTCCCTCAAACGAATCCATTTGGAAACAGGAACTGGCCCAAAATTGCGATTCAACCATTGAAAAGCTGATGAGAAGCCACATGATTTGGGGGTTGCCCCATTCGTGGACAAACCCAAAGACTGAAGAACATGTGGAACTGCTTTGGAATACGTACTTTGGAATACCTTCCATAGTTGCCTCTGCTCATTCTCATTCCCCAGTCACGGGGATTTCCCAAAGGAACAACACTTGGGTATGGGTCAAAGCCCTAAAACTCGGTCAAATGGCTCACCGTAGCTGTAACACATGGAACATGGCTGATCACAGAAATGTGATCATAAGTTCCAGAAGTTGGAAAACCATAGGATCCTAAATAGATAGCGTGTATATATATATACATAGTCGCGAAGAGATGCTAAAACACACTGGTTTTGACCCATCCCCACATCACCGCATCAGCAAAAATTGGCAAAGGTTCAACCTTTGTTTCGCTTGTGAAACTCGCTTGGCTTCATCGTGGTCTCACCTGCGGCCACAAGAAACATTGCAAACTCTAGTGCAAAGTTGGAAGAGGTAACCAACCCGAAGGCCCAAAGGCATGGCTAATCTTAGACACAAAAATAAAACACCTAGTCTTTGGATTCTAGATATCTTCATAGATCTTTAGTTTAATTCCTAATTTTTCCATCTATTGTTCGTCTGTTTTTTTCTTCATGTTTTTTCCCCATGAAAATGGCCATCAAAACAGGGAGCTTCTGTGGCAGACTTCTTGCAATTTTCGGAAATCCTGTTTTTGTTTTTCAAAAACAGAAAGAAAACCAAGGACAAAATCCATTTGGCTCTGGCTCTGATCATTTTGTGGGAAATCCATTGTGTTTTTTTCAAGTAAAAAAACCGCTGTTGAAATCAAAGGGATTTGACCGATCGAGCATGTTGAGCCCAGTGTCAACACCTGGGAAAATCTTTTAAAACCAGTGGTTTCCATTTTTTTCCATGATAATGTCAGAATATACGTCAGAGAGAATGCCAGATTTATGATGTCATAATATATATAAGATAAAATGCCAAACAGAATGCCAGATAGAATACCAAATGGAATGTCAGAATATATATATATACAGTATATATATACCCTCTGGTAAACTAACATAGCAATGGAAAATCACCATTTTTAATGGGAAAATCCACTATAAATGGCCATGTTCAATAGCTATGTTAAATTACCAGAGGGTATATATAATGCCAGAAAGAATGCCAGAAAGAATGTCAGAATGCATGTCAGATAGAATGCCAGATTTTTTTTGTCAGAATACGTCAGAATATCTCTCAGATGGAATATCACTTGGTGGGGATCACTTGAAGAAAGTTATGTGTTCCTCTGATTCAATGGATTGGTGAAATCACGCGACAAATCTTAACCGTAAACCACAGATGTTCCCATGAACCAATCGACTGCTACACTTCAGTTCACCCTAAATAGCTGGCATTGCTGGATGTCCACGCCATGGCATTGCTGGCTATGCATCCCATAAAAATTGTCCGCATTCATATCCCCATCCCCATTAATTAATCATTAAAGTCCCATAAAACCACCATTGTTGATGCTAAAATCCACATTTATCATCATTTTGAATGGTTCAGTCGTTCAGTCCCAACTCGTGTGTTGCTTAAATCCGAAAAAAAATGTGCTGGCTCAATGCTCCATCACATCTTCCAGATCCTTTTTTTTCATATTGGTGAGTATAATGCCCCTTCCCAAAATCATCAACCAACCAGCATTTATCAGTGATATCCACTTATATATCCCCATATGTTCATGGTTAAAACATGTTAAGAAGTGGATTTTTCTGTGATCATCCCCATGCGTTTATTTTTTCCGTTATATCAGTGATATCCACTGAGATTTCCACTTATATGTCCAAATTTGATAAGAAGTAGATATGTGATATATATATATATATCCATTTATCATCATTTATCACTATATATCCCCATATGTTCATGGTTACAACATGTTAAAACATGTTAAAAGCCTCATGAAATGTTCACGAATCATCCCCAGATCCGCCATACGTCCGCAACACGTCCGGCGGGCGTCCTGCAGATGTTCGTTCGAAATCGACCAGTTGACGACAGTAGCCACTGTTGGGCCGGGCGACCTCGGTCGGTGCCACTGTTGGCCACTGGGCACTGGGCATGGCATGGTCGAGAAATGGCCAATTTATAATGATTAATGGTTATTACTGATATAAGACCAATTAATTAATGTTTAATTAATGGTTAATTAGGATTTATGATTTGTGGTTATGAATGGTTGATTAATCACCAACATTATGATAACAATAACCAGTAATGGATATTATGATTAAGGGCTACTGATTAATCATTGGCATTTATTATGATAACATCTGATAACCATTAATCACCATGAGACTGGGATATGATGATTAATGGTGATTAACGATTAATGGTTATGGGAGTTATCCTCTAGCTGGAAATCCCTGTGAAAAAATGGAGGTTTATAGAATTGAACCATGGTCTAAATTCTGAGTGGTTGATTTTCCAGTAAGCCACGTTTGATTTCTGGAGGGTAACCATTAACAAATGCAAATTTCACCAGCAATTTGTGCAATTTCACAAAGAAGAACAAACAGAAATTGGTATTTCACCAATGATTGGAATTTGAGCATCAAGACTTGGAATTAACAATTTCACCCGCAAGAGTACAGCTTTTCAAAGCAGAAACGGGCGTGTCATACCAGCAGAAGGTGGGGGGTACCTGTACAAAGACTGGGGTAACTACCAAATGCAAATCCTACAAGAATTGACTTACTCTTGTGTTTTTGCTTCTGAAAAACGCAGGGTTTATGCTGGTTTTGTGACCTGATTTCATCCCATGGCTTTAAAATCCACCAAATTTTAATGGTTACCCTCTGGTTATGTCAAAATAGCTATGGAAAATCACCATTTTTTATGGGAAAATCCACTATTTCGACTGGGCAATTTTCAATAGCTATGTTGGTTCACCAGAGGGTAAATTCAAACATATGTTCCGATGTTGTTAGAAAATCGACCATGAATTACAAATCACCAAAAAACCCTCTTTTGTGCTGGCTGAAAAAAACTATATTTTACAGTGATTTTCTCCACATCTGCTTGAGTCAA